ACTCATCATACACCACTCATCATACACCACTCATCATACACCACTCAACATACACCACTCAACATACACCACTCATCATCCAGTTAGCTCTAGTTTCAAGAGCTCTAGCTCCAGTTAGCTCTAGTTGCAAGAGCTCTAGCTCCAGGTAGCTCTAGTTTCAATAGCTCTAGCTCCTGTACGTGGCAGGCGCAGCACTTTGTGAACCTCCATGTGCAGATTTCGTGGCAGGCACAGCACTTTGTGAACCTCCATGCGCAGATTTCGTGGCAGGCACAGCACTTTGTGAACCTCCATGTGCAGAGTTCGTGGCAGGCACAGCACTTTGTGAACCTCGATGTGCAGATTTCGTGGCAGGCGCATTACTTTGTGAACCTCCATGCGCAGAGTTCGTGGCAGGCACAGCACTTTGCGAACCTCCATGCTTCTCCAACCTCGACGGGAAGCTCCGCGGAACGACGGTTGCGAGACGGTCTCGGGTCATGGTCGGATCATGCTCGGAATCGTCCCTCCATTGTGATTAGAGGTTTCAGTTGTTTCTTGAGGCACAGCACTTTGTGAATCTCCATGTGCAGATTTCGTGGCAGGCACAGCACTTTTGCCTCCATGTGCAGTTTCGTGGCAGGCACAGCACTTTGCAAACCTCGACGTGCAGATTTCGTGGCAGGCACAGCACTTTGTGAACCTCCATGCTTCTCCGAACCTCGACGGGGAAGCTCCGCGGAACGACGGTTGCGAGACGGTCTCGGGTCATGGTCGGATCATGCTCGGAATCGTCCCTCCATTGTGATTAGAGGTTTCAGTTGTTTCTTGAAGTGCAGATTTCGTGGCAGGCACAGCACTTACCTCCATGTGCAGATTTCGTGGCAGGCGCAATACTTGTGAACCTCCATGTGCAGATTTCGTGGCCGGCACAGCGCTTTGTGAACCTCCATGTGCAGAGTTCGTGGCAGGCGCAGCACTTTGTGAACCTCGATGTGCAGATTTCGTGGCAGGCACAGCACTTTGTGAACCTCCATGTGCAGAGTTCGTGGCAGGCGCAGCACTTGTGAACCTCGATGTGCAGATTTCGTTGCAGGCGCATTACTTTGTGAACCTCCATGTGCAGATTTCGTGGCAGGCGCAGCACTTTGTGAACCTCCATGCTTCTCCGAGCCTCGACGGGGAAGCTCCGCGGAACGACGGTTGCGAGACGGTCTTGGGTCATGGTCGGATCATGCTCGGAATCGTCCCTCAATTGTGATAGAGGTTTCAGTTGTTTCTTGAAGTGCAGATTTCCTGGCAGGCGCAGCACTTTGTGAACCTCCACGCGCATATTTCGTGGCAGGCGCAGTACTTTGTGACTTCCATGTGCAGATTTCGTGGCAGGCACAGCGCTTTGTGAACCTCCATGTGCAGAGTTCGTGGCAGGCACAGCACTTCGTGAACCTCGATGTGCAGATTTCGTGGCAGGCGCAGTACTTTGTGAACCTCCATGTGCAGATTTCGTGGTAGGCACGGCACTTTGTGAACCTCGATGTGCAGACTTCGTGGCAGGCACAGCGCTGTGTGAACCTCCGTGCGCAGATTTCGTGGCAATCACAGCACTTTGTGAACCTCCATGCGCAGATTTCGTGGCAGGCACACCACTGTCTAAACCTCCATGTGCAGATTTCGTGGCACGCACAGCACTGTGTGAACCTGCATGTGCAGATTTCGTGGCAGGCACAGCACTGTGTGAACCTCGAGGTGCAGATTTCGTGGCAGGCACAGCGCTTTGTGAACCTCCGTGCGCAGATTTCGTGCCAGGCACAGCACTCTGTGAACCTCCATGTGCAGATTTCGTGGCAGGCACAGCAGAGCTGAGCTGGAAGCTGAGAACTGGCGACTTTGTAGTACAACTTCAGTACGCGGAGCAATCTGTGGAGCTGGAAGCTGAGAACTGGCGACTTTGTAGTACAACTTCAGTACGCGGAGCAATCTGTGGAGCTGGAAGCTGAGAACTGGCGTTTGTAGTACAACTTTAGTAGCGGAGTATCTGGGGAGCTGGAAGATGAGAACTGGCGACTTTCTAGTACAACTTTAGTACGCGGAGTATCTGGGGAGCTGGAAGATGAGAACTGGCGACTTTGTAGTACAACTTTAGTACGCGGAGCAATCTGGGGAGCTGGAAGCTGAGAACTGGCGACTTTGTAGTACAACTTTAGTACGCGGAGTATCTGTGGAGCTGGAAGCTGAGAACTGGCGACTTTGTAGTACAACTCTAGTACGCGGAGCAAGCCGTGGAGCTGGAAGCTGAGAACTGGCGACTTTGTAGTACAACTTTAGTACGCGGCTGAGTCATCTCTATTCTGTATTTTGCAAAAATGCATGAACAACGTTTTTTCCTGCGAGACAGTTGACGGTGGTTGCTTCGCTTTCGCTCCATTGGTCGGTTCCAACTTGTTTTGTCAAAGAACATCGCAGCTCGGCGAATCAGCCTGCCACATGCCCATTTCCTTTAGGTTTATTCTTTTGGAAACTTCCGCCGCGGCTTGCCCGGGAACTACTTGTATATATTGCCCGGGTTCTACAGAACCTGAATGGTGGGACACATGACATATAGAACTTCACCACACTGAGGCTGCTGGATATTGCGGAAGTGTCGCTTTGCGCGTATGAAGCAGCTGTCAAGACACCTGGAGCTTGCGAGCTCTCGAATCTGGAGGAGCTTGCAGATGACCTGGAGAAAGTCATTGACCGTCCTTTGATGCCTTTGGACTCGTCGTGAAGTTTTGGACTCTTGGATCCACAAGATTGGATTTACATTTACAGTCCAAGTCATAGCGGGCCTCTAGCTCTAGCCTTTCCACCGGCAAGTGCAGCGAAAGGCACCAGATACTTGAAGCAACAAGCAAAGGCTGGGGAGCAGCCAGAAAACAGGACTGCGTGGATATGAGACATCGCCACGGAAGGGCGATGGTCGATGAGTCCAATGAGCGGCTTGACACAACTGAAGACAGGGTTTAGGAAAAAAGGATGCAAAAGGATTCTGTTTGGGCACTAGGAATGCTGCGATAGATACAGGCTCCTCTTTGTTCTGCGACTTGTGCTCAAGCACTGTAGCAATTGAACACACAACATGCGTCAGAAGACATGAAGATGCTTCATCCCAGCTATCAAGGCTTTCGGGCCCAACACCAGTGAATCGCAACTGGCAGTAGGACTAGTAACAGGTGTTGTCCGGGTTTCTGTTGGAATGGCAATTCTCTTGCACAGAAGGCTAAGCCTTTTAACTTGGAGTTGAGCCCACACACAGTGACTTGGTCGATATGAATGCTCAGATTTGCTTGGAGCGCAAAAATTTTCTCCAATTGCAGGTTTCACGATGTCCAGTCAGGACGAGGACGCCAATGCTTGTGCAATCTCATTGCTTGCTGATAGTTTGTATAGGTCTCAGTCTAGGTGTTCTTTTCTGCAATCCCCGTGTTTTGCAAGCATAGTTGTTTCTTTGAAGAGTCCCTCTCCTTCTACGTGCCATCACGCCAGCCAGCTGTTCTTTGATGTCATGAATCAAGACAGCAGGACCCGCTCGCTAAAGGTGCCACAAACAGTGGCCCCAAGCAGGACGTGGAGCATTGCAATTAGGCTTTGCATTTTTGTTTGAAATAGCATACTTTTTTCAGCTATATAGAAGAAGCCGAAGTCAAGCAATGTGCACAAAGGAGCCGCCGATGTTACTTTGTGCCTTGTGGAGGATCCAAGCGCCGCTGAACGCAACAAGCTTCGCAAGCAAAGTCTCATGAAGAGCCTCGAGAGTTTGGAGGAGAGAACCATTGTGAACGAAACCACGCATCGGAACCTTTTGCCCAAGCAAAGAGAGTACATGAAAGCGATCAACAACGTGCTTAGATGTGCTTAGTATAAACTAAACCATCGAAGCATTGTGAAAAGACATTGACATTGTTTGAAGTTACTGTAAGTTTCCCCAAAAATCTAGGAACCAAATCATTAGTGCGAGCGCTTCTTCAAGGAAGGGTGAGCTATCCTGCATCCTACCTAGAAGCTTGCTCAAGCTACTAGCTACCTCTTCTCCTCTATTAGCAGCCTACCCCACCCGGGCTATTTTAAAAAGTATCAGGATGTGTTTATTTTACTCGATGTTGTTTGGACTCTGGCTTTGCTTGACCTTGAAGGCCTCGCCAGACGGTAGCCCTTTGCTGGCGCCACTGGCAGAGAAGAATGAGGAAGGGGAGGAGCCTGCGCAAACACAAAACAAAAACCGCTCCTGACCAGTGTCATAACCAATCAAGATGAGCCCAGAGCTCAGTTCAATTATAAGCGCAGCCAACCTAATATAGCATGGACCAGGATGATGTCATCGGGGATTTGCCGTTCAGACGGGCAATGTCTCCACAAGTCTGGCGCTTCACTCGAGACCAGGTGTCCATATTATGTCTGTCCAAATCCTTATACGTAGCTGTGCTATTGCTGTGCCATAGGCTTGTGTGCCACAGCTGTGCCACATTGTGGACGCGGAATGAGACACCTGTGTACATGCAGATTGAGGTCGAGGATTTGGGCAACCAATTGACCAGGGAGGCCAGGTCTCAGAGATGCTATTCGCGCGATCATTGGCAAATTAGGGCTTGTGTGATAGTTTTATGTGATCACTGCATATATATATAGATGTTTTTTCTTTTTCAGAATCTCACTAGTCAGGCGGCATCCCATGACTTGCTGAGCACTTCAATGCCACTAGACTTCTTGCAACGGCAAGCCAGTCCTGAAGACGCTTGGACAGCTGAATTTGCTGCATTAAGCCTAGCACACTGCAGAGGCCGTAGAGCTGACTTGAGTTATGCTGCATTTTCAGGACAGAAGCTCTGAACCATTCGGAAGTCGGAGCTCGAGCAAAGAATCAGAGAGCCATTTCTCTGTGTCATCAAGACCTACTGACAGAGGCAGAAGCAAGGACTTGGGACACCTTCAAACCTCAAGTGCAAAACTGCGCGAAATGGTCGGAATGAGCAGCATGTTTTGAGATGAACAGAATCCAAGCTTCCTGTCGAAACGGTGAAGCGGACCCATTTAGGCATTTTCCTGTCTTTGGTTGTCGTCGTTCGCAAGTTGTGATCTTCATCTCAATTGACCTGGTTCGATCTCATCGCATGCCAAATCTTCCTGTCTTCTCCACCTCGTGAACTGTGTCAGCATGTGAGCAAGTGCTTGAACCTGCCACATAAAGTTACGTTTTTGGTTGTGGCTTCAACGCTTGAACTAGCAGAAATAACAAGAAACACCAGAGCAAGACAGAGTCTCAAGAAAAGGCCTAACTGGTAGCTGGGAAAGAGCTTTGATTCCTTAGTTGTCAGGAGCTTTTGAAGAAGGGAAGTACTGCCAGCAGCTTCGGAACATTAAACGCGTATAGACTTTATTACTGTAAGTTCATCCAAGCACCTTTGTAATATTTGGACATGCGTCATGAGCAGTTTTTGTTGCATGTCAAGTCGACAAATAAGTCCTGAGGCTGCTGGAAGTGGCACCACAGTCCTTTCCACAGTTTTCGTAGTCGTGCTGCATGCTCAAATCAAATGTAATGAAATAATATAAAAAACAAATCACATAATCGATGTTTAACAGGGTTTGTGTTTTGTTTGCAATGATTTTGGTGTACCTCTTAAAAGTTAAGGTGCGCCGACTAGATCGAGAGGAACTCGAGCGTCTAGGTGGCCTCTTGCTTGTGTTAACTGATGCCTCGAAAGTCCTTGCTGCCAGGTCAAGAGATAAAGGACATCCGGTCGACGTACGAGGAACATGCAGATGCGGAAAGGAACAGAATGAAATGGAGATCCGTCAAGCTGAGCATCTTTTACTTTTTTGTTGCTGACTTTCACTTGCAGGACAAGTTTGTTGAGAAAATGGACTACTTATCTTTACTCTCACGAATGGCCAGGCTGGTTACCTATTTTGAAACACGGCAATAGCTTAGCTTGTCGCCGCCTCCTCTATAGTTCAATCACAAAAAGACTATATGATTCATGAGCGCTTGGAGGATGTAGTTTTCAAAGCAACTAAGTTTTGACGCACTGCAACCACTCACTGAGGAGCAAGACACATTAGTGTCATATACAATCTCTGATCGAATTCTGCCAGGGTGGAAGAGTCTCTTGAGGAACAGCTTGGGCAAGGAGGCACTAGACTATGTTTGTGGATAGATTCACCATGACTCACACTACATTTATACTGACAACGTATAATTTCACAAATAGAGTTATGCTAGAGAACTGTTTCTTTGCAATGCCATGGCTAGAGGCACTGTGACATCAATGCTTGGCAATCTCACAAAAGAAAGCAGGAGCAGAGCGCATGATCCAGCAATGAGATTGCTCTGACAGCTGATCCATTTGCTCTTGAGGGAAGGGTCCAAAATACCGTAGTCTACAGTTGATTGGGGATGGCCGTGGGGGAACTCACAAACATGTTTCTCTAAACCAGTTGATTAATTCTTTCCGAGCTGTGAGTTTGCTTCAGTTCAGGATTTTTCAGATACCATGTTCAGGATGCATATGGCGGACAGCCACAAGCTGCGCAGAGAGCTGGAGGAGATTAGCCTGGTGCCCAGCTCCTGTATTTTTCTGTGAATATGAATGTGCTTGTGCAGCATGGGGTTGGATTCCATATCCTGCACTGCGGGGCCATTTGATATGCTGGGAGGCAAAGCAACAGTGGAGAACACTTCTCGAATCCGTGACGCCTCGCTGGCCTGTTTGTATAAATTCGTTTAAATGTCACATCTTGCCACTTGTCAAACAGAAATGACATGATATTTCCCTGGTCATTCTCTTGCGGATGGTGATGGAATGAGCAAAGTAGTCTATCGCTTTCGTTCCAGCCTCTCAAGTGAAGACCGAAGACTTCTAGATTTTTCTGGAATGAATTCGCTCGTGGACTTTTCAATAAAGATGCGGTGAGAGTGTGCTGGCGTACCTTGCCAGCCCATGGTGTTGTCAACTTTGTTCACACTTTTCAATCGCTTTCATCCATTCTCTCGCAACACCCTAGCTTTCGTCCACGCAGCCTTCCATGTGGCCTCAAGTATCCTCAAGTGCCAGGAATCTCATCGCGTGGAAAATGCTGCTAGCCATGCGTTTCGCACAGCCAAGCATTTGGAACAGGCTGCCAACTGAAGTAACCCTAAGCAGACAGAACAGGCTGAAGGGTTCTGAAGGATGCACCGCCTTATTTGCAGGTAAGCAAAGATTTCTCCGTGACAAAGGAGGCGATGCTTCACCCAGTGCTGACAGAGGTCTTCCGAGAAGATGTCTCACGGATGGCCAAAGCGGTACAGGCTAGGATTTTGAGACTGTTTTGACAAAGGGGGCCAGACGTTTGAAGCAGATGTTTGTTCCGGACATGCGAAGCAATCAAGGTCCTGGCCAACGAGTTCAGTATGTTTGAGCAGGACTCATCAGGGTTACCAGTGTCACGATGAATCTGAAATCGAGAATACTGTACATGAGGATACACATATATCATATATCTAATTATATTTTACTATAAAGTATCATGAAATCTACTAGGGGCTCCTGGCCTTACTACTAAAGGAGCAAGAACGCTACTAGGGGCTCCTGGCCGTACTACTTGTAGCAAGAAGCTAGTAGTAACAAGAAGATTGGCCACTTTACTTCCACTCACCTTGACTCGCAGAAGCAAAATTCTGCAGTGTGCCTTGCACTCAACTAGCAAGCCTTGCAGGAAAATCTAGAGTCCGATCAGCAAAAGGCGCCTTTTTGGGTACAAGATTGGAAGGTCATGTGAAGAGCGGAAGAGTTCAATTGGAATGGGTGCTGTTTCATTGGCAGGCGGAGCAGATCCGCAGCGCAAGTGCCATCACCTGGAATGTAACTGTGAAATAGATCATTAATTATGTTTCTTGTCTATGGATGTGTATATATCATATACATACCTACAGTGATGTGCAGGTGATGCAATCAAAGAGGCCATGATCCCCTGCTTTGCGTGTTGTCTTTGATAACGTGAGTGATAACATGTTTTGTGTGCACCTGCCAGTTGCAAGAGCAGATTGGACGGCATGAAATTAAAGGTTCTACAATGGAGCCTGAAGCTGGGGAATTCATCAAAGTTGATGCATGTATCACCTGAAATGCTCCCACTCTCGTGCTTCTCATTCCTACCCAATTTATCTAGAGATCAAACCTGCAACATACGAGCAGTGTGCTATAAGGGGTGGCTTGGAACACATCAAGCAGGAAGTGGACTTATGTGCAAAGCAGGCAATTGACGGCAATTGTTGTAAGAAAGGCCTGCTTGCGGATTCAGCGTGTCCATGCCAGGTTGGCTTAAAGAAACTTGAAAGAACAATCATGGATATGCAAGAAGAAAGTGCCAGGCGTTGTCCTTCATTTTACAAGCACTGCTTGGCCTGTTGGCCCACGCACCAACTGTTTTTCCATCGTCTGCCAGTGTTCACGAGGCTACGAGAAGTTGTTCACGAGAAGTTCTTCCAAATACAGCGTCGGCCTCAGTGGGCAAGATGTGATCTAGACATCAAGCATCACCGAAGGAGAAACTGACTGCTAAAACGACTTGGTTGTGCTTTGAATGACATACGATGAGGGACCAAGAAAGAAGAGAGGTGATGGCGGCCTTTGCTGCAAGATGGGACCCGTGAGCAGAGAGATTGTTTCCGCTTGTTTCGATTCGATGATCGATGGATTTCCTCATAGAAACACCATCAAAGCAGCGGTTACTACTGTTGAGGTACAACAAGACAAGATTGCTGCGGAAAACCGTAGATGGGTGGGCAGAAGTCCTAGGAGTCCTTGTTTGATTATGTTTTGCATGTTTCGCTTGCACAAACATATGTTTTATCGAGCTGACAAGGTAGAGTTTCTCCGACGGCAGAATAAATCACGGGAGGCAAGGATGCCTACAGAGCATGAAAATGCGGACTTCCTTCAAAAGCGCTCAGAGTGTTTCTTTCAACCTTGCTGCAACTTGTTCAGCTGGCATCATGATGCTTGTAGCTACTGCTTCAGCCTTTTCATTCTTTGGCAGCTGACTGAAAATTGCTGACATGAAGTCAAAAGTCCATGCAAGGCTTTAGCGCGTGTCAAGCAAGTCTACGCTCTTGCCTTAGGATGTGGCACTGGTAGATGAGAGATATATGAAAAAATGCTATAATATGACATATGATATACTATTTAGCCAAAGCTTCACAATTCGAGCTACTGACTGTCGTTCACACTACCGTAGATGGGACTCTATGCTTTACAAGTTCGTTGCAGCATTGCGGGCTGCACCACCAGCATGTTCCCTCATGTTTACTTGCACTACTGACCAGGGAGGTACACAGTCAACCAGTTGACCGGACTGTTGGTATATAGGTACTCGTAGAATTCCCAAAGTGGTGGACTCCTTGACAGGGATGAAGAAGGTGAAAACAGATCCCGGTCTTATGCTGGTGATTGTTGTTGGTGGTCTCCTGTCTTACTCTTGTGTCACTGCATTCCTGAGATCCAAAGCCCTAATCACCCGGCCAACTCGAAGCACTTCTCATGGTTTTCTTTGAGTGTTCTTCTGAAACCCTGCGTACACTCTGACTCGCCTGCATGGAAGTGGAAAATGTTCCCTTGAAAGACGGCTGTCCTTTATAAGTTTATAAGTGAGTCGGAGCGTACCCTGTCATATTCTGCAGAGATTTGCCATGGTTTTGTAAGTTTTATATAGTTTTATACTTATTTACCCCTGCGGGTTGTTCCGCCGGCCCTTTTGGCTGAGGGGGGGGGGGGGGGGGGGGGGGGGGGGGAAAGTTAGACTTGCCAAAAATCCGCGCCGTGGGTACAATTAGACTAAAAACAAAACTACTACTAGGATAGCATACAAACCAATCACCTAAAACACGCCGCGCCCAAGGGCCGGCGGATTCCTTAAGCAGCATACAGGAAAGCGCCAGCAATAGCAAGTTGTCGCAGCAACTACATGCACTTGCATTTTCACTGCTTTTGCAAACTCCAATACCAATACCTAGTGACCTAGGGTTGTATTACATGGTGCCAGTGTCAACAGCAATTCTCAGCCAAATTTAAAAGTTGATGAAAGTTGCCTTTCTTCAGACACAAAATGAAGGTATCAACAATCAAGAATACTTGGTTGCAAGTTGCCTTCAGGGTAACAGCATCATTTTGCAGCTTACAGCATAGGGGTCGGCAGAGATTAAACACCTTCTTTAGGCGCTGTATGCCTCCGGCTTGCTGGTATTCATTTTCTCCAAACCATTCAAGATGCGGCCCACCATTGCAAATCGAGTTGGTCGCTCTTTCCCTGTAAAAGGAAATTATGGAATATGTGGTCATCCGGATGATGCACATTTGCACCAAGAGGCGGTTAAAGAAACCTGTATGGGCTTGTCTGCGTGTTGAGATGTGACCTCTGCCGGAGCCCCTTTGTTCAAGAGGGAAAAGAAAGCGGCGCCATCCTGACTCCGGGACAGAGGGCCCTTCCGCTTCTTGAAAGGACTGGTGGGACTTCGACCCCAGGTCTGGAGCTTGCGAAGGTGCAAGGCAGAGTGGGAACACCTTAGCGCTGAGCAGCTGATACAGAATGCAATGCTTGCTGCAGAAGTTGATTGCAGAATCAAGTGAGACGTTCGGGCTCGGCATCTGTGGACCTACTGGGAAAGGATGCGTGATGGCGTCTTTGTCTTCGGCATTCCCAGAAATGTCGGGGCAAGGAGCAGCTGCTGGACGAAAGCACAAACTCTGGCGGATGGTCTTGCAGTGGTGACTCGAACTTGCACTTGCAACAGAGGAGCAGTGCGCCAAATGGACACCTTGCAGCCTTGGCTTGAACTGAAAGCTTGGTTACATCCTTTGATCTTCAAACGGAGATCGAGGATTCGTTGGGAGTGGCCCGGCAGCAGGTTTCAATCGGCGTGAGCATGGGGCTGGTGATGGATTGGGGCAGATTCGAAAGGATTCAGGCCAGGTCTACAAGGAGTTTGGTCGTGCAGAGCTGACTTGGACCTGTTTCGCATTGTTGACAGCTGGTTTGCATTGGGGTCATTATCACACCGGAATCCGTTCGCGAGTGGAGGTCGCTTACATTGTGGTCAGAGCTGGTCAGTGGAAGTCACAGTTTACAATTTTGTTGGTGCTCGCAGTTTTGCAGCTTTCCTTTGTGCAAGGTTCAAGACATGAAGGATGCAGGCCACGCGGAACCAATTCCTGTGGGTTGACCCAAAGTCCCTCATTTGCTAGGCCCCTCTTCAGTTCTTCAACAAGAAGTTTGAGGACGGTGGAGTTGCCGCCACTCCCGGACGTGAAATTCAACAAGAAATTTGAGGACGGTGGAGTTGCCAAAGACTTGAAAGAAGATGAAGCTGGCCCCCCGCCCTTTGATGGGTGATATCTGGCCATTATCGGGCCTTATATACGTGATTTGAGAAGATTTGAGTACTTCCAGCGCGGGTGAAGGCGGAACTGTCAGCACGGTTGCCATGCTGTTTTATGGTACGAGGGCAGTCAAGACCCTGAAAGGTTGGGAACAGATCGACGATCACGATGATCACTGGAATCACAGGCATCCAAAGAAAAAGAAGAAGGAGGTTACAGTGAGGTTGCCGTGGAGGACACGTTGTGAAGGATGACGAAAGAGGCTGGCTGAGAACCACGTGTTTGATTGCATTGAATCATATGAGAGAAGCTTTGAGTTTGCCGGCCCACGAGTTGCCAGGACTTCAGGAAATTGGAGCTGGAAAAGCTGTGGTGTTGGCGGGAAGGGAAGACCAAATAATGAAAGAAGAGGAGGTGTGGACCTTGGAAGAAAGGATGCGGAGAGGAACTCTGACGGCGAACAAAGAAACGGAGATTGCTGCCACCAAGTATGAAAAGGCTTGGAATGGGCACCCGCCGGTCATGGACCTGGACCGTGAAAATCTGATGATTGAGGCCCGCCTGAAGAGCTTGCGTTTCAGACGAGACTGCGCCAGAGCCGAGTTTCTGCAGACCAAGAGAGGGATGCGCGGATGCAGACCAAGAGAGGGTCAAGCGATCAAGAAGGCTTGATGGCGCGGTGTGATTGGGCCTCTGATTGAAGAAGAAGGAGAGTTGATCATGGAAGGGGCCCGAGGAAAAGGCCAGGGCGTGAAACAACAGCAGAAAGCGCCCTGGCGAAAAGCAAAAAATGAAACTTGGGCGGAAAAGCTTGAGCCAGGGAGGACCTGTTTGCTTCGGGCTCCGGGACTTGGTTCCTAAAGGTCCTAAAGAAGACTTGATATATGCGTGGACGCAATCTGAAGTAGAACGTGTGTGACCTTCCATCATCGAAAAGGCAATCACAGTGTTCAACGCTGCAGTGGAACTTGGAGCAGATGCTGCAAGATTACTGCATCGCCCCTGAAAACGATTCGACCTTTGATCTTCCATTCAGAAGTATCTTTCTCAAACCCTTTGATGCTTACGATTACAATGGCTCCAAAATGCAACGTTTCACGTGGAAACTCCTTGATCACATCGGCTTTTGAGCGAATCTCTTCTTCCAACCATGCGCCTTCGAGCAACAGACCGTTCTTTTCATTGCCAGCTGCTTCTACAGAACACCCATCAATCAAAGGTGGCTGAGAACAGCTAACGCTCAGTGATCCAGGATGCCAATGGTTCAGAATGGTAGTACCAGGCCATTCATACGAGACAAAGCCACCATTGTCAAGGACATGGTTTGCAACCCTGATGAGCGAATTTATAGCAACGCTCTCCCTTCATTTCTCTCTATCAATCTTGCGATCTCTGCTTCATTCAACCACTGCCAAGCGCATTAGCTGAGCCAGCAGTCCAACACATGAGGTTTGTTGGAATGTGTGTGTTTTTTTTGCGTGACAGTGGGAGTGGTTGTTTCGGTCTCGAGAAAGTCGCCTGTTTTGCCCAAACGAGGTCTGGCGCGTCAAGCTCGTGGATGAAAGTCTTATGGAAAGCGGCCCCAACAGAGATCCTGGATGGATCACCACACCATTGACGACCATTGAGACAGGAAGTCTCCAATTAGGAGTTGGTCTGCGACAGCGCGTTTGGGATTGGCCACGCAGTATGGCATTGAAGTCGGTGGTGGAGTCATCGACGCCATGAGGACCACCCGGCCAAGTGAAGTTGGTGATCGCGAAGATCGCAACTCTGGGCGTGTGTGGTTTCTTGTGGAATCTGGCATCCTCATCCAGCTCGATGGCTTTAGCTTTAAACGGAGATTGGACGATTCTTGGTCGAAACCCTCTCAGAATCAACCTCCAGGGCCGCCAGGGCCCAAATATTTCTCAATCAAACTCATCATGGTTTCACCTTCCAGCGCCGTGTAGGCGCCAATCAACTCCTCGAGCGGAATACTTGGATGTCCCTCTATAGTTCTCCAACTCGACTGATCAACAAGCTCTCGCTTAACTATTCTGCACCAATTCCCAAAAATTGGTTTCTGTTGCAAGCTTTCCTGCCCAACTGCGGCATCGTCGAACAACCTTGTTCAGAGAGTCTCTTTCTTGCCCAGAGTTCTTCATCCCTCCTGTTTCCTCAGTCTTTCCAACTGGTCAGGGGTGTGTCCCATCTGGTCACTGAAGACGACGCCGCCTCGATGCTGGATGCAGACGCCTCCAAAATTTTGCCTTCGCTCTTCTTCTAGGCTTTCTTTTCACCAACTTCGACCCTGACTTTGTGATTTGCGAGCCCTCCTTCTCACACGTCCTCTTTCTCCTCCTCTTCCTCCTCCTCCTGTCTCCTCGTCCTTCTTCTTTTCTTCCACCGACATCCTCGTAAGACGGTGCTTCGTCCTGCGTCTCGCTGCATGTTGTTTCTGAAATGTGTTTTCCCTTGTGAGTACTGTACTCCCAACGACCTCCCTGCTGGGCTGCTGGTGTTCGAGGCTACATGCATTGCGGCTTCCAAGGTTCCTGGAAAATCCAGGGAGGGGGATCCTGTAAAGGGAAATTCTTGAATGCGTGGTCATCCGGATGATGCACATTTGCACCAAGAGGTGATTAAAGAAACCCGTATAAGTCTTTCTGCGTGTTGAGATGTGACCTCCGCCGGAGCCCTATTGTTCAAAAACTACAAGAAAGGGGCGCTGAAACTGTTGTTGTGTGCTCGAATTTTCGAATACTATATATATCCAACTAGCTCGGAAACTTTGAGCGTGACGGCGCGATGCATCCCGTACCGTGGCTGGGCTCACCAGGGCCACAACCATGCCAAGGCCAAGACGCATGTGACAGCCCGTTTGAGATCATGGTGGTGCGGCACCTGGCATGTGAAACAATCAAAGGCAGCAAACACTCAACGATGTGGCAGGTATCTTATGCAGCGGGACCATACTGATGGCCAATTCAAGCGGCTTTCTGAGAACTTGGAAACTCAAGAGGCACGGAAAAATGTGTTTCTTCCTACTAAGGGCCTACTAGGTCTTGTTTCCCCTGCTAACCCCAAGATCTTTAAGATCCCTTAGGATCTTAGGGTTTGCTGGCTGACCTTAAGGCCTTACATTAAGAATTGAACACCCCAAAACTCCTCAAGGGGTGCAGCTGCTCGTTTTTATGGGTCCATGTGGCGTGAATGTGTCCAAGATGTCCAAACAAAAACCTTATAGTAAAACATCGTGAGGGGTAGAGCGAGTCTATGGCACACCATAGGCAAATATATACAAATATTACTGTATGTTGTATATATATAATATGTAGTAGTATCGGGCAGTGTAGCTACTGTAGATTGGCAGATTGTTTGCCTCCATTTTTCCTGTGAGGCAAAGTTGGAAGGTGCCCGTGGAGCTTTACTGAGACATGAGAAGGCCACCTCGGAGCAGGCGCTTTCGTCAGGAATGGAGTTACGTTTCTGTTGAGTTGTTTTTTTTTTGTAATTTGGTCTGATGATTAACGGTCGTGAATTTCAGGAGTTTGGCAAAAACCTGCAAAAGCAATAGGCCCCCCTCAAAAACGATAACCTTGCCATGCTGACCTTGCTGAATCATTCCTCTACTTGACCGTACATTTTGGCAGACGCTCTTTGAGGCCTGGTTCTAAAGTTCTACAGAAAAGAACAATTGTGCATGACAGGCTCGCAACCTTCAATATAGGGTGCTTGCGGTGCAGCACCTGGTCTTGGATGGTTTAGGCCCTGAAGTATAGGTTGTTCTTCCAGAGAACTTGGATGCAGATTCAGGTTGAGAAAGGTCTTGAAGCTGCAGAGAGGGAGAAGGTGGCGAGAGTCTTGTGTGATTTTGTTGCTCATTTGCGACATGTTTATTGGGATTTCATCTTTTTAGGGCCATGACCCGAATCACATTACAGTATACTGAAGTACAATCAGCTGCACAGGCCACCAAGCAAGAGGTTACGGAGAGCCTTGGCGAGATTGACCGTCGTTTGACTGAGGACAGCTTTGGTGTAATTTTCATACCAATGCATGGAAGGGATAGACAGTTGTTCACAGTGAAAGGAGCTTTCCCTCAACCCTATCAGGGAGGACATTGTACACATCAAAGATTTGATCCAGAAGCTGCAGGATTCGATCCAAGTCCCAGACCCTGCTGCTGCTTCAATACTTTTGTTTAATCAAGAGAACCGCAAAGTTTACATTTTGTTAGGATGACAAGATGGATGCAGTCGACGCAGAGGCGGATCGGGACAAGGCGCTCACATTGCCACTTTTCCTGACATACATACTACAATTCAAAACGCATCAAATGTCCATTCAATTCTTCTCCCTTCAAACTTATAGTTTCGTCAGACTATCTCGGCTCGGACCCAGTCGATAGTCTCTTTGGTCAGGTGCATGGATTCTGTTCAGAGTTTCGAACCTGGCTTCAACGTCATGACGAATCAATCAAGCGGAAGGCTTGGAGCAAAGCGCTGCTGGCTCAAGTGTAAGCTCAATCAATACATGTTTCATTTGTGTCTTTGAAGGCTGAGATCTCCGAAAATGACACAAAAGCTGATGCCCGAACGATCGAGCAGGTGGCAGGAAGAATTCATTGGAACACTGAGCTTTTGAGCAGTTCCAGGTCTTGGTTCTATTGGCAAAGCAGGCGGGATTTGCAGAATGGATTCAGAATGGACCGAATGAGATGCATGTCACTCTGACCAGGCAGATCAGCTAGCCACTGTGGTCGCGCACGATTTTGACCAATTACGGAAAGCATTGACCAGGTTCGGCGGCCGTGAATGAACCTTGAAGGACCGGCTAAACCTGCGTGAGTTTTGCCCTGCAGGTTCCTCGAAATTTCACCAGACTTTCGAAAGGCATCTTTGGCAATTGGATTCGAGCCACATGAGCAGCCCTTTCCTCAGCTCATTCCATACATGTCCACAATGATTACAAATGATGTAACCAGTGCAACCGATTTTGATGACAGCAACTCACTTGCTTTCATACCAAATCTAATACATCTGTAAAGATTCCTGCCCAAGAAACTATTGGGTACTGTACCTATGTCTAGGCTCATGTGACGGGTAAAAGGCAAATAGTTTAATGCTGCAAAGGAGATGATTGAAGTTGTTCATGTTTGCACTACGAAGACACATTTATGTGCGGTATATGTGTATCACAAAATTCTTGCGACTGAACCTGGAGGATTTGTTGGTTTAGTTTTGGGGGGCCGATGGCAAGTGACACCCCCACATACCTTTTCTAGGAGGGTGTGCCTGCAAGGGGCACTCCATGTGTGCATTCCGTTCATATTTTTGCTGTCCAACAGTCTTTGGTGAAAAAAGGGTTGTATTTGTGGGAGGGGTCAAGACATGTCTTGGAGAAGGCCCGCGGAAGTTCCCACAGTAAGCAATCCCGTTGCTATGCTGATCACAAGGGATGCTGGGCGGTGTTGAGCCAATTGATTGAGTATATTCTGTAGGGAATCAGATAACACAAAAGGGTGAACAATTTGCATAGTTGATCTAAATTATATGTTGTATTATTTTGGTGATTACCAAGGGGGTGCAGTTCATTAGGAGGGAACAGGCAACACAACGTGTTTGAGATGTAGCAAGCGCACTCTAGGTGAGATTATGGGCTCACATTCTGATTCTGACACCTAATCAAGCCAACCTGTTCTGTGAAGCATGTCTTCCAAGCCAAGAGTCAACATCAATTCCTCAGGTGTGTTGCTTGCCGAGCTTTGCCCCGCAAGTGTGCCAATGATGGCGCCACAGGACAGGCAACTGCAGAACAGCACGAAGACTTGATATAAACTGATGGAGTGATGGAATTGTGTTTTTCTGGGAAGGCTCAGATGGAGTTGTGTACAAACTGTCGATGGATACTTCTATATCGACTATAGCATCTTGGCAAAGCATTCAGCTGGTGCTTGTCAGCCTGCCCGTAGTGGATTCTGTGCATTGAGATTGAGCATGGCAGGAAGAGACTCAGAAAATGCTGGCGGAGAAACTCAGATATCCACTGAGTCTTGCAAGCAATGCCTTTGCCGTGCTAGCTGGCTTGATCGATGTCGAGATTTTCAAGCGGTTTCCAGGGGCTTCTTAGTCCCGCATCCTGCAATGGGGCATCCCAGTGTTCAAGTTGCTGAGCATGGCTGCAACTATCCGTCTCAAGGTCATGGGCAAAGCCAAACCAGACTATTGATTTGTACTGAGTTTCCTCACCCGAAACACAACCCTTTTCATTGGAATTTCATTGGGGCACGCGAATAGTTTTCAATAATCACTTATATACTTAGCTTTTAAACATTTCCCAACATTCATGTTCTGATGGGCTTGCCGCACTGCTTGCTGAACCCTCAGAGGGCACCAGGTCGTTTTTTTTTCAACCCAAGACACCTCCAAGACTTGCTATGCCCTCGAGGTCAAAGTGCAAAGGACGAAGCGACAAATGCGGCTTCTTTGGCTGGGGCCTTGCCTTTACATGCTTGGCATGCATTTGCGTTTGCCTTACTGTTGCGCAGTTGGCAGTCCATGGGTCATGAGGGGGCCAAGTGAAGGGAAACCCACTTTGAGCATGCAAAATCATGTTGACAAGTTTCTTTCACACGTGTCCATCGTTTGACACCAAACAAAAGAAAAGGGAAGCTTGTGGTAAAGACACGGGAACTTCGTGCACCAAAATGTAATGCCACTGCAAGTGAAAGCATGCCTTCTGCCATATTCAGGTTGAGCCTTCTCGTCCCAACCTATGAATTGTTTTTTGTGTTTGTCTTTGAAAGCAACGATTGGAAGATGTGCTGAAGATCATTGGCATCCTGGGTGAGGTTCCAGCCAACACTTATGTGGAGTACATTCCACCTCAGGCACGCCTGCCACCTTTGCACAAACGATGGACAGACAATGGAGACAACTGGACGAGCTCCTACATTGTTGTTTTCTCTTTACTACCTCATGCACCCTCGGTATGCCATTCTACCTACATATGAAGTCTTCAGGCCTGTGAAGGGGCTGTGTAGCGGCCCTTCGACGCTCGAACATGAACCCAACAAATGAAACTCAAAACTACGTTGCACGTGCAAGTGGTGGCCCCCTGGCACAGATGGCAGGGAAGGTAACGATTGCAGCAAAGGGCTTTTGCTATGATCATTCCAAAACAGGTAGATACCCCCCCACTTACACAAGTCAAATTTCTTAACGCCTGACCAAGGCAACGATCCTACGAGTAGTTTTCAACGGGAGACCAAGCCATTGGGGGCCTGAAAACTCAAAGTCAAAACACCAAACAGCGATTTGCAACTCTAACACACAGCGTGCCTGGGTGTCATTTGCGCATTTCATGCATACTCCGGGTCAAGAAGCATGAAACCCCATGGCCAAGTTCACCAGACATTCCATCCACATGAGAGGAGCAGTGCCTCAAACATCAGACTGTCTTCTTTTTTTCCAATGACAGGGTCCTGTGAAATAAAGCACAGCCAGCTCGCCAACAAGCTGAACATAGTGGGCCGTTGCCCATAGTGTTCAACGACGAACACCCCATAGCCATAGCCAAACAATGGTTTCCGGACTCACAAAATGCATCAAAATGCACTGGGAACCCCAGCATATATACATAGCCAGCATTTTGAGGCATCTATGTTTCTCCATGCAACATACATCACCTTCCAGTGGCTGAATATACATACCCATGAGTTTGAGGTGTGTATGATATTAATAATATATGCTCAACATACATGCTTCCTAGTGGCTCAACATACATATCCAGGAGTGTGAGTTTGAAGTATGTATGTTTCACTCTATGTCTCTCTATTAGACATACAGGTAACATACATACCTTGCAGGATTTTGAGGTATGTTTCTTTCTCCATCACACCTTGTGAGAACCAAACGGGCCGCGGTGCGGGGGAGGGTGCAGCGCCCCCCCCCCAGGGAGCTCACACGTAGTGGGAACTTGATCAATCGTGCGATCAATGTGTTGCAGCAGCTTCGAGTGAAACTGGCTGATTCTGATGTATGTACAGTATGCTTCTCCATTCTGTATGTATGTAATTTATGTATAGAATGTAATGTAATGAAATGAATGAATGTATATAATGTAATGTGACGTAATGTAATGTAATGTACAGAGCCATGCTTAACACACACTTTAAAGGGTCTTGCTGTACAGTAGCTTGTTCGGGTATAGCATAACCAAGTAGTTGCAGATGGAGGGCCTCCATCGGCCTTTGCATTTACGTGGTGATCCATTATATGATCTTATCTTAAGTTATGCTATGTTATGGTATGTTCGCTTGTTTGCTGCAGAAGCAGCATTTGGTGTTCCTCGGCCGGAGGAGCACTCACACCTGAATGCATATTGTCCAGAAAACATACATACCTCAGAAAGACGCCAAAGCCAGGTATGTATGCATGAATACTGCAAAGCAGAGATCGTCATGACATGAACCGTGTGAAGCTTCGGCTCAGTGAGGCTTTGCCCCCCACCTTTGTATCCGGTGACCCTTGACGTTCTGGTGACACAGGGAATGGGGTTAGGACTTTGCACATGGTGAAGGAGAGCGGCAGGTCTCCAAAGCAAAAGAAGAGATGATGAATGCTTCAATGGGACCACTGAAGATCTTGACTCAGGTCGGTCAAGAGCTTGGATTGGCAGCTCAGGGCGTCAAGGCCATCCTAAATAGACTACCGATGAGGATGTGAACTGGACCTGGTATGCTCTAGGCAGAGGCGGAGTGCCAGGTCCCACCTTAGGCTGAAGGGGGGCTTTTGAAGCATTGAGTACGAATGCATTGCTACGGTGACTATCAAGTTCTGGCTGGACGCGGAGAGAGCCATCTTCACAGGGTTCCGTGAATCGGCCTTTGAACCCGTCTCGGCCAAGAGGTTCAAGGTCAATTGGCTGAGGAAAGTGGACTTCACACTGCCGGGTCACTTTGGATCATCGTGATTTTGGTGAACTGTGGTGCGAAGTATACCCATACTCCCTCGGCTCAAAAATTCCCAGCCTTTGGCCATCAGATGGGGCAGAAGACGAAGGGAGCCAGGGACTCTTTTGACAGTACTTGGGAAACTTCGGCAGGTACAAGCTGAACAGGTTTCTTTTAGGAAGTATGCGGTGATACGCGGCGTGACAGCCGCTTGGAGGCTGGAGATCCGCAACGGCAACTGAAAGTCCAGTTAGAGGTGGTGGCTAGAGACTCCACAGCTTGGAACGCGGATGTTTCCTTCGAATGTTCCTGCCGTTGCCGGACGCAAGGCTTTATTTATTTGTTTTCTCCTCATGTCATGTTGCATTGCCTGGTGCTGGTGTGGTAGTTACTCTTATTGTCGGCGCGCAATGTGATGGTTCCATGTTGGTTGTTCCAAGCCTTGCTATGGGAACGATGGATGCTTGGCGTTGGCTGTGGGAGGTCCGCATCTCGAGCTCTTTTGAATGCAATTTTGGTCAGACTTCAGCTTTGGTTGTGCAGCTGCGCCAAAGGGACTGGCCAAGTGTGAATCCTTTGAAAGGGCTCCTCAGCCCTATATGGCTTCATGCAGTGATGGTGTCGGTTTTTGAGGCCCTGGCTCAAGTTTTGGAGGTGGCGCTTTCCAAGCAACTTTTAGGAATAAAGAGGACGTTACAGGACTGGTTCAGTTCGATTTTTGCGTTACCGTTATTTTGGCAGTCTTGCAAGTCGTTAGTTTTGCGGTTGTGATTTGTTTCTACGGCTCTACCTCTCTTTTGTTGCTTTATAGGTGCTTAAATAGGGTGCACCATATGCGCCTACATGGGTAGGCGGGCTCGTAGGCCTGGTTATATATATATATATCAGAGGGCCTGGGCTGTTGCGACAAAACAGACCCCGTCCTACGTAACTTAGGTTCAATGAGTGCATACATATATGTATATAAACATATATTAGAAAAACATAGCCAAAATTATTCACTTACTGGTATGTAGTATGCGGTATGTATATATATAGTTATGTTTATGGAGTAACATACACACCTCAACTCGGCATCGCCGTGTATGTTTGTTGGAGGAGCTTACAAAAGTGCTGCTATGTTATCAGAAGTAACATGCGTGCCAACCTGTGGGGGCACGTACCACGTGACTAAGGACTAAGGTATGTATTCCAACAAAAACATATGTACACCACAATCGTCCCAAACGTAGGTTTTGTGTGTTACCACGAGTTTCCTACACACCGTTGGTCATTGGTACTTTTGTTCCCGCCAGTATCGTGCAGACCTCCGACTGTCAGGTATGTATGTGTTTGCAATTGACATGCGTACATACATACATACATGCATGCATGCATACATACATACATACATCCATACATACATACATACATACATATAGATAGGGGCCAGCCTCCCCTGACTGACCTACACACCTACAACCTGCCGAAACGTAGATGTGTATGTTACCCTGGAATTCTTACTAGCAAAACTCGGAAAAACAAGGAGGCAACTGCAAAACTCCAAGCACCTGAATCGTCATCTTTAACGTGTAATGCCATGACCATCGTCATAGGCCAACAGCAACCATGGCAGAGCAGGGGTCCGATGTCATCGGGAGTTTCCATAGCCCAATCAGCTCCACTCAAGCCCGCAAGGGCGAATGGGGGGGGTTGTTGGGACCAAGCGGCTACTATGTAAGCGCGGCCTAGGACATGGAAATCACAACCCCTTATGTGTTACTTTTCTCAAGAACAACTTAAAATTGTTCACTTTTCACGCTAGAGAAAGCGTATCCAAGGTCTATCGCGCTGGAGATTACAGGCTTTGTGGGAAATGGACACCTGAGACGCTTCTTTGTTTGCGAAGTTTATCATTGAAGAGGTCGGACATTTTTAAAGGAATTGGTGTTCATTGTTTAAAGGAACATTGTTGTGTTGCTTATGTCATTGCACCTGGTGACAGTAATGACCCAAGGCAAGGTCGTGTCAAAATGCTCTTCGTCCTGACAGGCATTCTTTCGAACTTCGCTACGACAACTCTGCTTCGCCCTTACATGAAGTGCAGTGATTGTTAGACCTCATGGTTTTCCATTCACAAGTTTAATCCTGGATGATATGGAACCTGTCACCGTCATGCTGCAGCTTGGTGTTTTTTCTTTCAGGTGTGGGCCACCGGAAGGAATGACTTTGGACAGCTAGGTGATGGTTCCGTTGCGCACAGAACCACACCTGTTGAGGCGAAACGGCCGCTATTGGTTTTGGGCAAACCTAGGACCCGAAACAGATCGAAACAGTGTCAAGTGGGACATGAGTGGTACCTACCCATCATATGAGTAGCAAGAGGCCGGATCAGGGGGTAGTTCCAGAAGGAAGGTGGTAGAACCGATGCCGGTTGTAGCGAGACTGTCACAGATCGTAGTCTAAGTGTAGAAGCAAATTTTGGTGATTGTTTGGCAAGGCGTTGAACTTTTTTTCCAGAACAGAACGCCACACAGTCAAAATCCATCAAGTTGGAATTCGCATGACTTCGCAATCGGCTGAAATGTCTCAAAGCAGAACTGGTAGGTCTTCCAAAATGCACTTCAAGCTTCTGCCGGAGATTGGTCAGCCCCTGAGCCTTTTTGTTTGTTTGTGGCCAAATAAACTGGTCGAGTCGAGACAAAAGTTGATGAATCATTGTCAGCGAGCAAAATGCCAACAGGCACAGCCTATTTCTTCGCAATGACGGCGTCACGGGCTTCTTTTAAGACTTGCTTTTTGACTGTGGGGAATTCTCACGCTGCTAAGGCCGTATTTGCTTGTGGACGAAATGACTTTGGTCAACTTGGGGAGGCGACCAGGTGCAGACTGTTGCAGATCAAACAAGTCGTTTGTGTTGAGAGTATACAATATGGCAATGTAATGTAGCTGTGAGTCAAAACCTCACCAAACCATGGAAGGTTGACATCCCTTATAGAGGAATCTGCTCATTTTCGGTGGTCAACCGTGCCCTGGTTTTGACCCACAGCATGTAATGTATATTTGTACCTATACGTGATTGCACATGCGGATATGTCTTGCACACTCGCCCTGTTTGGCAGGGTGACTCGAAGATTTCCAATGTATGGCTCTTGGATTTGTCCAGAAACGAGCATTGATATGTTTGACTGATTTCCCTTTGTCTATGGTTTCTGGTCTCTCTGGCACCCAGGCTTATCACCAAGCAAATCAAGGCAGTGAGTGGAGGAGGTTACCACAGCCTTTTGCTTCGTGACGATGGAGTTGCTCAGGCGATAGAGTTTCTTGCGGTTCCTCATATGGTTCTTTGTTTTGAGCATTGCCTAGAGATGGTATCGTGAGATACAGATGCCCTCTTGAACTCTGAACTCTCTAGTTCTCAGAACGACAAATGACGCAGAGTGACTCAACCGATGAGGCCACAGGGTTGAACAATTTCGGTCAGCTGGGTGATGGCTCTTACGCTGGGCCCTTTTTGCTTTGGGTGACTTTCAGACGAGTGAACAAAGTCAACTGAGGTGTCAAAAGTGCGGCCTGTTCCGGTCCATATCCCAGTGAAACGGCGAGGTCAGACCTGAGGCAAAGGAACATTAAATTAAGATGCAAATTTGAACATGGTAAAGCCGTCTCAAAAGTCTCCAGTGAAATGTGAGCACAAATCAGCCATGATGGCCAGGTATTGGAGAACGTTTCAGCAGTTGCAGCTGGTGGCACTTCACCTCAATCCTGGAAGAATTCATATGTTTCAGATGTTCGGTGTTTGGAGCACCTCTTTTGCAGATGAGGTCACCATAGCGTGTTCCTTCGAACGGACGGCACCGCGTGGACAGTAGGCGGCGGAGATAATCCGGACAAATCCACAGGAGGAGCCTTAAGGATGCGACGGAGCGCGCCTTCGCACGTTTGGATTCACTTAGAGTCAGCTGATGCAGGCCGAAACAACTATGGCCAGCTTGGAGACAGGAGCCATGAGCAATTTTGTTTGGTAGAGGCACTTCGTGATCATGACACCAACCGACTAGAAGTTGGCAAAGACTCAGGGCTATAGATGTACGATGGATTTGTCCTTCCCCCTTTTGAAACCAGAGTTCTCGACAAAAGCACGAAGGACAACGATTGATCGCATCCAGCCTGTCCAGGCAAGCCACTGAATTCCCACATATTCCTGCAACACAGTTTGGTGGCAGCTGGTTTGCAACAGCGTGACTTGCACCTGCGCTTTGGAACTTGTCAGGTGCTGGGCGATGTGACCAGTATCCTTGCCAGGTCAGCATACAGCCGCTTTGCTGCATTTGATGCTTTCATTTTCTAGATGAATGGCCTTGGCAGCTGGACATCAGATCAGGCCTGTTTCGTCAGGTCTCTTTTTACTGAACAACGGATCCCTTGTGGCCGCTGGGGACTTCAATTCAGGCGCCAAGCCAGTACAAGGACACAATCTAGACTCTAGACGTGTGATGACGTGTGTATCACCATGTATCCTCACAAGCGTCCAAGATGTTGATGCGTTTGGAGGCTTGAACAGGAGTCAAACAGACTGGCCACCAGCTTAGATTTTAAGAAACATGTACTGCAATCTGATTAGTTGTGTCGAATTGGCTGACCCGAGCGAGGAACCCTATCCAGATTTTCTCGGAAGTTGAGGCTGATGAAGCATCCAGCTACATTCTGGATTCTGTGGCAACTCTTTGAGTGTATTCATTGAGGGTGGTTTGAACATGCAGGTACAGCAGATTTCACTGGATGATATTTAGCTCTACAAGAAGTGGTGCTTCCGGCCTGAGAGCTTGCCAAGCTTCAAGTGTAGATTCTGCAATCGCATTCTGGAAGCCGAAGGCTTCTAGGAAGTTTCGCGCCCAGCAAGTGGCGACCAAAAAAGGCAACGAAGGGCAGTGTTCGCCTGCGATTCAATACAATTCAAGTATGTTCAGTTCATACATCTATTGGTTTGTGGCTCAGTACAAAACCTTCGGCATGTTTGCAGGGGTTCAGAGCTTGGACTCATGCCCTAACTTGAAAGGTTTCATGAGTTGGAAATTCATTGTGATACACATAAAACTGCCAGGGATGTGCACGCCCACTCAACAATCGCGCGGAAGACACAGATACAGTTGCTTGGTCGCCGGAAGCGACATGCTAGGGCTAGCGAAGTCCTTTTTCACCTTTCACGCTCTCCCTGGATTGAAAACAATACTTTAAGACTGCACTGTACAAAAACATGTTTGACGAATGAGGAACGGTTTTATGAACCCGTTTCCTTTGCTCGAGGTTTCAGATCAGCAATTACCACTGCTGCGGCAGATCGTGCTCGCAGAGTCTGGTTGGCTTGCTGGAAAGGACTTAGTTGGCAACAATGTTTGCTACTAGGGGCTCCTGGCATCGCTACTAGGAGCAAGGACGCTACTAGGGGGTTCTGGCCATACTACTAGGAACAAGAAGCTACTAGAAACAAGAAGCAGCAAAACATCTTCCAGAGATGCAGGAGTCATTGCCCGATCGAATAGCTTTCTCAAGGAAATTGGTCCACACAGAGGCGCCTTCATTACAGGCCAGGCATAATCCTTGACAGTCAGTTGCTGGTGGTTTCAATGAGGGTCGCTGTGCAAGGGTGTTGAATCAAGATGAGTTGCCAGAGTGATTCAGCATGTGCATTCTCCCATGTCAAACCGTTGGTTTGCATTGTTGCAGAGTTGTACTTTTGAACATTGGGTGTTTACTGCTATACGCATTCCTTTGGCGAGTGATACATGCTGGTGAAAATCAATGAACAGCGACGAACAGGTGGTGCAACGAATATGCTGGGCAATGTAGAAACACTGACGATGTTCCACATGTACTTTAATGTATTTTAAAGTAAACCATGGGCGTTTTGTTTGCTAGCTTTCCATATTGAAATCGCGCAGGGACCCCCATAACAGGAGATGTAACCTCTGTATACAATTGTATACACAGAATAATTTTTGACCTCGTCTCGGAAACAACTGGTTTGGGAGATCATCGTTCTTTTCTCAAAGGTTGGCGTGCAAGTTTGAACAATGAATTTTGCTTGGCGACGTTGTTTGTGAGTGTGGACATTGTCAGGATGTGCCCATCCCTGTCGCAACTCCCCGAAGCAAACGACGTCCGCCGAGTGCCCAGGTGCATCGGCCAAAGAAAGCAAAAATACAGTGACCTGACACAATTCTGAAGATCAACGCGACTTGAGCCACAGGATGCTGGTCGAGACCGCCCACAGAGTGTGCGATCGTGCCCTTTGAAGATTGATCCTAGATTTTTGCGCACGACACTGCTATTCCGCAAATACCACGCCAGAAATGCTAGGTATTTCCCTGCAGTCGGAGGTCCCGGAGGTCCGTTATTGGAACGTTTGGCAAGGCACAATTGAATTTTGTCAGTTTGTTCTTGGACAGGTAGCGCTCAGAAGGCTCGGTGATGTGTTCACAAAATTTGTTATTTCTTCGGAAGCCATTGAACATAATTTTCTGCGAAATTGCAGAAACCGAACTGAAAAAAACACATTAAATATATTATATATATAGTTATAAATATCAAATTTCTTGGAGGAACCTTAGTTTGAACAATGCTGGTGTCAATTGGTCAACACGGCCTCCCCTGGCAAGCAATTGAGGGCAGTGAATCGTATCAACCCCACAAACAAACATCTATAAAAATTGAAGAATAGCAGTAGTAGTGGTGGCGATAGTGGTGGTAGTGGTAGTGGTAGTTAGTAATAGAAATGGAAGTAGGATGATGAATAGGAGAAATAGGAATATAATTCGAAATTATATTGATATATATTGGTTGTAATATAATAATATATTATTCTTATTATCGAAAGGATAATAATTTTAATTATATAAAAATATATACAAAATATATTTTAATATTATAATTAATATTATTATTTTATTTAAAATTAGGATTAAACAAATTATATCGATATAAATTTTAAATAATATTTTAAGAAAATTTGGATATTATGGAATAAATGGGAGATAAGCTTAGGCGATATTTTATTTAAAATTGTAAAAAGGATGGAAAAAAAAAATATATATATAATATTTAAATTACTTTATTCGTATTAGAGGTAGGTAAGAAAATGATAAGGCGGTAGCGGCAATTAAGGACGAAATTAATTTGGGAGATAAATTGGTTACGATAATTATAAATGAAATTATGAAGGAAAAAAAAAATAAAATAAAAATAAAAAATGGGAAACAAGGCGGCGGCAGTAGCAAAAACGAAATTATGAAGGAAGACGAACTTCGAAAAATAAAACGGCAATAATAATTAATTTCTGCAATCCGGAATTTATTTATTAAAAAATAAAAAACCCTATAGTTTGTAGCGGTAGTTAAAAGCCAAATTATGAGGGAAGACAAGTCGGTAGCGATAACTAAGAACGAAATTAGGAAGGAAAACTAGCTTGGGAGATAAATTGGCTACGGGAGCTAGAGATGAAACTATGAAGGAAAATAAATTTGGGAAACAAGGCGGCGGCGACAGCAAAATCATGAAGGAAGACGCGACAGCAAAAGCGAAATTATGAAGGAAGACGCATTTCGAGAAACAAAACAGCAACGATAATTAATTTCCGGAATCTATTTATTGAGAAGTAAAAAACCCTATAGCTTGCAGCGGAAGCCAAAAACGAAATAATGAAGGGAAACAAGCTTGGGAGACAAGCCGGCAGCGGTAGCCAAAAGCGAAGTTATGGAGGAAAACAAGCTGGAGAAACAAGATGGCAACGGCAGCTAAGAACGAAGGCATGAAGGGAAACAAGCTTGGGAAATAAGTTGGTAGCGGTCGCCAAAAGCGAAATCATGAAGGAAGACAAACTTGGGAGATAAGTAGGTAACGGCAGCCAAAAGTGAAATTATAAAGGGAGACAAATTTGGGAAATCAGGCGGCAGCGGCAGTCCATTTCCATAATCCGGAACCCATCTAATAAGAAATAAAAACCTTTATAGCTTCCAACTATTTAGGGAATAACATATTTTATCTATTCTGAAATATACATTTAGGAATATATTATGACTATATACATAACAACCTATAATATTGAATACTAAGGATTATGCGAATACTAAGGATTCATATTGTGGCCTAAAAATAGTTCTCTTGAAATATTCTTATTACGACTAAAAGCCTCGAACATAATTGTAATAATAATTTTGATGAACGAACCTTCAAATGCACAAGTCAGACACGCCAATGCTGCGATTTTTATATTGACGTAAAATAGATTTTGATTTGTATATATTTGTTTAACAATCGATGAAATGTGGCTTTTCATTCGCCAAACACCTTTTGCGTAATAGAGATCAACCCGGATTTTGTCAGACCATCCGCACATTGATGTCGTATGGGGATCCACAGCAAATTGCCATGCTCGCTTTTTGTAACATATTGTAATTTGTTCTTCAGTGCTCTTAAGCATACAAAGTTGACGTAAGACAATGACGTCCAGATTATTCCCGTTATCCCCTATATTATCACCCTCTTTCTTAACACAATCATACACGGACTTACAATCCGTACAAAACACCAAAGGAACCAACTTGTCCCACGGAAGACTCATTTTGTAGGACCCAGCTCCCATAGTAGATCTCGCACAACAATGCTCGCTAAAAGTGTACACAGCCATGCCCTATGATGGCTGCATGAGTCTTTGCAGCGACACTGGATTCCACCACTCTCCTATTCATCTTGGTCCTCCAAGAGGTGAAATTCCCAATTATAGCATGGATTTTTCCAAGACCGACACAATAATCCTGTTGTGAATATATAGATTTATTTTCCAAAAATTTCTGAATACGTTCATCACTTTGGCCTTCAATGTTCAACCCGATATTGTTATATAAATTTGCATCGTGCCAACCAGCGACAATGACGCGCTTACCAAGAATCCAAAAGACAATGTTCTGATCGTTCTTTTTCACAACACGAACCACTTGGTTGGCCAATCTTCACTTGCAAATACCGACAATAAATGCTTTTGCACTTGATTGACGCAAAATGCGACATCAGGCCTTGAATGACAACCTATTGCAGGGCACCAACGATGGACCGAAAATAACTTTTTTCTGCTTCAATAATAGGACTGCTGAAATCGTTTTCATGGTTTTTTACGACTATCAACCGGATTAATTCCAATTTGCCGTCAATGAACCCTCGCTGACTCAATTGAATGACCATTGCACCTCTTCCTCAGACACAGTGATTTCCTTGCCACAATACCTGACACCATGCGGTTGTTTTAACGAATTATAGTCCCATTCCCCCAAAGGAAGGCGCGCGCAAAGCTTATTGACATCCTTTTCAATATCATCATTACCGCTATTAGCCACAAACACATCACCGACATGAATGAGAATCATGGCAATTGGTTCTTTCGTTTCAGGGTCTTGGTCTGCAGGATCATGCTACGTTGATATTTCATCTCATCCATGAAAATTTGGAAAGAGCTATGTACCAAGCACGTGGAGCATCGGGCCTACCATACACTGGTCGGTTTAATTTGAGAATTAGACCGTCGACAAAAACGTAACCAGGAAATACTTTTTCTTGGGGGTCCTATGTACCCTCTTTGCCTTAAAAAATCGAATAAATATCATCATTACGTAATGTTCAACCCAATTGAAAAAAACAACACATTGCAGAATCGCCAATTTTGAGTGGTTGGCGGTCGTCGGCAAATTTGGAACACGAAGCTTTGTAAGGAAAGGGCGGCCTGCCCCTCCGGAGGTGGCTGGCCGTTGTTGGCGATCTTCGAAAGAAGAGTGCAATGAAAGGACGAATCTAAAATTCCCGTAATTTTAGCTATGAATTAATATCTAAGGCTTTGCTATTCTTCTAAAAATATTAGATGATTGGTGATTGACCCTTGTTTGCGAGCTGTGCATTGGAAAGGACGGATTGCACTCTCTTTATCAGGTCCCCTCTAGAAATCTAAACTTATTGGCTCAAAATATATTATAGGGGAGATGACACGGACAAGACATTAAATTTCAAATTCGCAGTCATATATAATTGATTATTTGTTTCATATTTTTAAGGTCTAGGCTCCTGCGCAGGCACAAATTCCCTTGTCTTTGGCTGCTTACACTGTCACGCTGGATGGGCTGGCCCGGCAACAATTGATGAGTAATTAGTTTGGATTCCTCCGGAAAAAAGTCTGTTGCCCAAATGTTTTGTTCATCCTATTTCCACACAAAAATTGTCTTTATTTGGGGTGTTAATTATGCTCTTGCATTGCATGGCAACATTTAGTTTCGAGACAGCGATTTATACATCTTAAATTGCTATCGTCAAGTGGTGACCGTGGTCCGTAGCACACAGGTTGATTCGGTTTTACCACCTTTTGCGTGTCATCCGCCTCGGGGAATTCTACAAGTGAATCAGCAAAAAAACATGCCAAGCTGAAATAGGTTGCGAGTAACGCAACAGGATGGAACAAAGCGATTCCTCCTTGGAATCCACCGAAAACGATACCGTCGGCTTCGGTGGATTCTAGAGGTGATTCAGCAGGAAAGCAAGCATGTGCCTTGGGTTCAATGGGAGGCTTTCAGGTTGCTTCGGCCTTACAACCAAAAATTGCAATTTTAGGTTGCTTCGGCCTTGATAGAATAGAGGAAACAAAAAGAAGATCTTTTCTCATTCACGCTAGTGTTGATTCTTGTTCATGAGGCGGTTGTGCTATTTCAAGAAATACTTATCACAAAATGTGTAAACCACCAAAAAAGTCATCTATAATAATTAAATAGCTATTGTTATTGAAGCAAGTGTACAGATAAGGATAAAACCATGATTTTTCCCATATATGCAACCATTCGATATTATATATATTTAGTCGTATTTCCACAAACAATTTACACTGTTGTGGTTCCATCTTAGAAAAATAGAGCTGGCCACAATCACTGGCCGCGCCCCAAAACTATGTGTTGGGCTTTGTGTCCGGGCCTTGTCCTCCTCTTGCCTTGTCTTGGCCGCGCCCCTGAACTCTGTGGCCCGGCTCTGTGTCCGGGTCTTGTCCTCCGCTTGTCCTCGCCCTTGAACTCTGTGGCTGGGCTCTTTGTTCCCCAAGCGATTTTCTATTGGGATTCTATCTAGAAAAAAGGTTGGCCACACTCACTGGCCGCGCCCCTGAACTCTGGGCTGGGCTTTGTGGCGCGGTCCTGCTGTTGTCCTCTGGCTGCGTTGTATCCGTCTCTTGTCTTTTGGTCGCGCTGACCAACCCTGGGCTTTGTGGCCGGTCTTGTCCTCCTCTTCTTGTCCAATTTGTCCGGGCCTTGTGTCCTCATCTTGTCTTCTTGTCCTCCTCTTGTCCTCCTTTTATCTTTCTCGTGGTCGCGCCTATGAACTCTGTGTCCGGGCTCTGTGGTCTGTGGCCAGGGTTTGTGTCCGGCTCTATGCTGTTTGGGGTCTATGCTGGTGTATTTCTTGAAAAAATGAAAAGTATTTGTATTGCGCATTTACATATTCTCTGTGAAGGTTTGCAAATCTTATTGTATTTGTCGTTGCAGGGCTATCGCTTCCCAAACAATCAAAATAGATTTCTCGCCAACACAAACATCCACCCCAAAAAGCACAATTGCACCCAATTACGCAAGCCACATAAAAGTTAATCAAGATCATAAGCTGGTCTTGCCGAAGAAATTCACATGCGCTCCAACCGTTGCCATTAAGCTAGTATTCGTCAATTTGGTTGAACTAAAATAATGAGGTCCAAGAACAAGGAGGAAGAAGAAGAAGAAAACTTTCAGAAGTGCACCCATTCGAGGTGGGGTGGCCAAAGCTTTGGAGTCGCTCCGCGAGCCGAGAGCTGTACCAAAGCATGGACACTGACAATTTTGACATCTTTGACAAGGATCAGAGCAGATTAAAGGAGTTCCAAGCTTTTCGAGACAATCTCACCATATCCTTGGGTTCGTACAGGGTGCGCCCAGATTCTGTAAAATGGCAACAGCTCTTGGCAGACTTCACCAGGCTCACGAGATCCTGGACAACACTTTGTCAATCCTTACATCTTGTCACAAGTGCTCACCAGTGGCTGGGTTAACCTATCCAATCTTTGTTTTGCTAATGCTATATTCCGCAATTGGTGATCCTATCCTGGTGTGGGACCACTTCTACAAGGCGGCAAGAGAATTCCTTAGTGGTGGAATTCCTTAGTGTTGGCGGCCTTGAAAGGCTAGCCATTTTGTGGGTACAATATGCTGGAGATGGATAAGCGTGCAGGGGATTTCTTTTCATCGTTGCTTCATTGTGCGGGGCGCTACTGCGTGGGAGGTTGTTTCTTTCACGTAAGGGACACGGGAGTCTTGGAAACACATGAACATTTACCTCTCCATATGAAGGTTCCTCAGGGTCCTGATGAATTTTAAACCTGAGATTGTGGTTGTGGTCTCCAATTGGGCCAATGAAGATGCGGGTCAATATGTTTATGGAGTCCCTCTAGCCTGGTCATGCATCTTGACCGAATGGAATTCAATTAAGTAGGTCGGAGCAAATATCATGGGATTATTGAAGTGTTTACGGCGTTCTTATCTATATCTTTCCAGGTGGTGCAGAGGTGGCTGACGTTGACGAGGGTAGTGTCCACCAACCAAGCGCCTAAAGATTGAATGTGAAGAGGTTGCTTTCCACTTTGCCAATGTCAACTTCTTTGGCAAAAAGTTTCGAGACTAGCTTTGGGCTCGTCTTCTCCATGAGTCCGGGTCATGCCGAGTCATGCCCTCTCCGGCACTTCTTGGGCTCCAGCCTGCATCTCCGCCAAGACCGACGTTCTCGTCCGTTGTTTTGGCAAGGTTCTCCTGCTGCTGGCCCAATTTCCATGGGATATTAGGGGGTATCTTCCAGGGCTTTCTTAAAATGTCGAAGATTCCATTGGGCAAATGCATTTGCTCTAAAAATTGCGATATGAATAGGCAGATGAGCAAGCTAACTACTCACTTTGAAGTACTGATAAATGTCAATGTAATCCAAGAGCTTGCGCGCTAAAGAGGCCGTGGGTCAGGGCAATGTCCTGCGCGCGAAGTAAAAAGAATCCTTGGCATTAATTCATCACTGCCAAGAGTGAAACTCTTTTGGCCATCAACGGTCAAATACCTCTTCTTCTCACGTCTGTGGCCTGCCGCCCCCATCAAGCGGGGTTGGTGGTAGGACGGCGGCCTTGGGCCCGGGGCAGGGGGAGGCTTGGATTGGCCCGGATGGTGTTAGCTGGGTTGCTTTCCCACGATCCAATTGAAGTGTTGGTTGCGGCCCTTTAGTTGGCTAATGTTGGCTAGGTGTCGGGGGCCCGGCAGATCTTGGGGCGTGGCGGTGGAATGAGGGTGGGCGTTCGATCCGTCATCGTCTTCTGACTCTTTGCTGCCGCAAAGGAATTCTCCCAAATCCAATTCCTACATTAGTCTGCATCTATGGCCTGTGCAAGGGAGGTAGGACCTGCAGGTAGCGCCAAACTAAGTGATACCGAAGAGAAAGGCTGGGGCCAAGTTAAAGAGGTCGCGTAGACCTGATGAAATGCCGAGCACCAGCTGCGGCCATATCTGAAGGAAAGGACGCATTACCGAACCCACCATTTTTAATTGCGTTTCTAATTATCTTTCATGCATATAAGTACATTTATCTTTGAAATAGTTTTCTTGTATTTTTGAGATTCTGGGTTATGTTAAAAATTGAAATTTTAGGTATATTTCTTTATTAATTAATATTATTTTTTTTTTATCTCGACCGATGCGTTACTATGACATTTGATGTATGTTTGTGGTTGTATTTGAGTTTGTGATTGTGCTTGTGGCCGTGTGTTGGCGATTGTGCGTGTGTGGTTGTGGTCTGTGGTTGCCTGTTTGTGGTTGTGTGTTTGTGATTGTGTTTGCGTTTGTGTTGTTATTGTGTGTTTGTGGATTGTATGTTTGACTGAGTGTGTGTGATAGTGTTTGTGGTTGAATATTTGTGAATGTGTGGTTGTTGTGATTGCGTTTTTGTGTTTGTATATTTGGGATTTATTGGGTGATGGTGGTTGTTAATTTAAATTACACAAATATGTGATATTTCGTATTTTAATATGAATGATTCAATTGTTACATATATTTTTTATTTTGAAATTGGTATATATATAAATGATTATTGTTGATCGGTTTATATCGAAAAGAATTATTTTGATATATTTTGTTTAATAGATTAATTATGAAAATAGATAATATTGAAATTATGAAAAATATATTATATATTATTTATCTATTATTTATTATCTAAAAAAAAGGGTGTGGGTCTAAAGATGGAATGTCGGTTGATTTCTAGGTTATTTATTCTGTTCATTCTTGGCGATCTATTATATTGAATTTTATTGGTATTATATTATATATTTATGCCGTTTAATAAAATTATGATTTATAATATTTTGAAATTAATATTATAGAATATTATGTATATTATAAATAACTATATTTACGAATTTATTATATATTAATTTATGATTATGTTTAATAATTTGAATTAAAGATATATTGGTCGAAGGGCTTGCGGCTTATTGGGAATTACCTAATGATTTAGTATTTAGGTGGATTGATTAAATTAGTAATATATATATATATTTGTCGATATTGATGTATTAGTGGATTAATAAGATTTGTTGTAAAATATTTCTAACTTAGTGTTTGAAATGCATTAGGTGCTAGTGCTTTGATATTAGGCATCGTCATCAATTTAGAGACCTCATCGTGGCATATGAATGGAAATCGATTGGGTTAATATCAAAGGTATGAATGGACGAATCTACAAATAAATTACTACAATATTATTCAATATATATTAATTCTTATTGAGAATTCAGAGGCATATCATGTGCATCAAACAGTTGAATGCGTCTGGTGTGTTGCTTTGGGCAAAGGAATCTAATCTTTCTATACCAATCAAAGGTCCGGCGGAAAGCGAGATCTGCATCTGCAATAAGGATCCGGTGGAGTTTGTCTCGTTTATTTTGTCGGTTCTGCTTACGAATGGTCCTGTGCAAAATTTGATATGTTGCGATATGAATCCAATAACGAAAGAGATCCTGTGGCAAGCGGCCTCCAATGGCAAGGACCTATTTCCGAAATTGCCATATCCTGGTTGATAGGGAAGGAACCATGGGTCCATCCATAAGGATATCTTTCTTTTTGGAAAAATATTGGATATATAGAATATTAATGGTGTTTTCTAAAATATATATGGAGATCTTCGATGGCTAGGAATCATTGATATAATGTGGAATGCAATCCTTGATATTGGCTTCAAAATATTATCAATGATGAATCTAATTTAATCGTTCTCGTCTGATGGCAAATCTATTTATAATCTTTAATGAAAGAATAGATTTCCGAGGCGCAAACCACCTGGCAGAATAATATATAAAGGATAATCATATGGAATGATATGGATCAAGATTTGCATACGATTATGCATACGACGTGGTGGCTTGCATACGACGAAATTGTATTTGATATTGCCTAATAAAGATATAATCAATCCATGAATGATGGATTCCATATGCGAATATGGATATATAATATTATTTATAATGCATTTAGATCCTATATCCTTAGCAATTGATGAAGAAAATCATAATCAATATAAGAATTCTTGGAGGCACGTACATCTTGATTGCTAATGTATGGCGGATCCTGGTGAAGTGTCGTATTAAATTCGGCCATCAAAATCTATATATGTTGTCTTGGTATATAATTCAAAATAAAAAATATAAATTGTTCCAGATCTTGGCCCGATTGGCCAGCAATGGCCCCGTGTCCTTAAGCATTTTCCAGGAATATTAATATCCAATTAGGAAATCATAGATGCGATCAAGGCAGAACCTAAATTGAAGGAGACGACCGTCTGAATGCATTGCGGATACAATATATTCAGGCCTAGCCAATTCATCACAGACAAGCTCCAAGATCGAAGCGTTCTTCGTAGACGTGGCTATACAATGTCATTCAAATGCGGATCAGGAGGCATTAAAATTCCAACCAATTTTTTCTATTGCAAATATATCCAAGGATTAATTAAAATATCAATTTCAATATTTCTTCATTAATATATCTACAAATTATTAATTGCATCGTCTATAATTTTAGTTAAAGCGCCGCGGTATATCAAAAAAAATAAATATCCATATTAAATTGTTCGAAAATATACCCATCTATAAATCCTCTTAATTTAGATTCTGCGCGGCCAGGACGTAACCAAATCATTATCTCCGTTACAGAAAAGATAAAAATAAAAATCAATACAGCCGGATCCATTCAATGCTATTGTCATAAATAAAAAAATTTCAAAAAATTAAAATATAAATTATAATATTAACAATAATTAATCCTAAATAAAATCATAATAAAAATAAATATAATAAATAATAATATTTCCAAAATAATATCGAAATTTAAAATTAGTATATATTTTTTAAAAAAATTCTATATATAATTTATATATATATATATTTAAATAAAACCATTTATACATTATATTATAAAATTAAATTTCATTAAATTAAATATAACTAAATATATATATATAAATATTTAAATTACATAATCAAATTATATATATATTTTAATATGATATCATAATTTCAATATATATCTATATATTCTATAATTTTATAGAAACAATATATAAATAATTATTTAATTAATTTTATTACCTCATTCTTAGAATATATCCATAAATTCGAGAAACAATATATTATAATTCAATATATTTCGATATATCAAAATATATCAATTCATATTATATATATATCTCTTTGATTACGATTGTATATATTTTTGCCCGATGAAGCGCTGTGCACAACAAGGTCGCTCATCTGTTAGCAAGGAGAAGATTCGATTCGCAGCCTCGAACGCCCTCAAAAGCTGAGAACTGCAGCTTCATGAATTCAGAAATGGAAAATGCTTTTCGCTACATTTCGCCGTTCCCAAAAGAGGTAGAAAGCACGCGAGTCCAGTTACCATCATCAGAACGACAAATCTTCGCAGTAGGCGAAAGCTTGCCCCAGGCGCTTGCTGGAATGCCGCTCTAATGCCCTTCCATGTCTGATCTCTTTCCCGAACTCTTTCCCCGGCCTGGGAAACATACATCAAACGTGGCTCACATCCATCATTATTGATGTGCACTGTAAGGTCTGTTAAGATCTCCAATGCTGCAACGGACTTTGTCACCGCGTCGAATGACGTGCGCAAAGCCTTTGGGCTGGTTACGCGCCCACCCTCACGTGCGACAGATGACCGTTGCTGCATTATATCCCAACTAGCAAAGACATGTATGATGGCTATCCGATAGTGTGGATATGCTGCTCGAATTTCAGCAAAGAAGGCTTTCTGTCGATCAGCATTCCTTCATGGGTCAAACAATACAAAAAAGAGCAAAAACGACTTTGCATTCACAGTTGAAAACGACAACTCATGCATTTCCCGCAACCAGGGAAGGACACAAAACATGAGTGCATTCTAACATATTCTAACCACTATGTTAAGATTACCCTTCCGCATCAACACCAAAAGAACTGCGGCCAGGCTTCCGGAGCGAGCCATCCACTAATATATGACGCCCCTGGCGCATAGCTTCCCACTGGGCGATGAGAGCACAAGTCCCTGCTTCTCGCTGTGTCATCACAGCTGCTTCTGGCCCATCTCGCTTTAGATACCCTGACCATTCTGGCAACTGTGTTCTGATCAAGTCTGGGTCGGTTCTTACTACATCCAAAGGCATATAGCCCTGCTCAAGCATCCATGACACAACCCAGGACTTGCCTGCAAAGAAAGACCCTGCTGTGAAAACAATCCATGGATGAGGATCTGAAGGCCCATTGCCAACAACAGCTTCTATGATTGCATCCTGAAGCCTCTGCCGCTTCAGATCGTAGCATCCATGGTATTCAAAGTCCATCTTCTGCCGGATAGTCTTGTAAGGTCCCACCATCAGTTTGCCCTCGACCCTGTAGTTGTATGACGTTTCATGATCCCACTCGTAGGTTGGAGGGACCTAAGCAAACATCGACGCAACACAATTCAATACAACCATGCAATTAAGAAGTGTTAGCAAATATAGTATGGTGCATTCTCTACCAGAACAAGAAGAATTGACTGTCCACTTTGCCCTTCCGTCCCAAATCCCCGCACCTCCCAAAAGTGCGAAGGGTGCTGTGCACTCTGTGCGTTGGTCATAATCTGCTGACTCACCCGGACTCACCGCACGCAATCCATCGCAAGTGAAACACTAAAGGCTCCAAGAGGCAAGACTCCTTTCCACAAAATGCCACAAAAACATGCACATCAAAATGTTCATCAACAAATGTCAACAAAAATACGTCTGAACCCGAAGGAACACGCTCCGAAGAAACCAACACCATTAAGATGGGAAGAATACCGATAGACATGTGTTTTGTTGATCAAATAAAACATCCACCTGTACAAACTGTGAGCCAAAATGGAAAGGAGACAACTCTACAGTGTTTTTTTTGCTCGTCCCACATGCAAAAACCATTGGCTATTGGCTATTGGGATTGATTGATATCGTCAATGGATGCTAATTGTACAAGTCTTAAATATATCCAGCTCTTTGCTCACTTGCAACTTCCAGGTTCAAGCTGACCTTGTGACATCCTGTCTGGAGGCCTGACAGTCTGACACTCAAAGATCGACGACTCGTTTTGTTCAACTTGCTCGATCACCATGCCCGTGCAGCAACTGTGAAGACTCGGACAGTTTTTACCCAAAGCCGCCAAAGACTCGGAAGCTTGAGTTGCCTGACACACATGCAAGGCTAAAAAGAGGTAAATGTTTATGTCCTTGGTTGGCCTGACAATTCAATGCACGGGCCTGCGCAGTGTTTGCGCGGACAAGTGTTTCTTGGTCAAACTGAAAGCTCCGAAGTCCTGAGATCGTGATTGTCAAAAGGTGTTTGTTGCTGCGGTCATTGAGTTGCATGATGTTGCAGCGTCGATGTGATGTTTCAACCCTTTCAGCCTCGCCCGCTGCTTGTGCTTGTACTTCCACCTTCTCCTTCTTGTTTGGCAAACGAAATCGTAGTCCAAGGCTGTCCTGAGGTTCTCGCGGGACATGCCGCAAAGCCATCGAGCCGGGCCTAGAACTGTCCAAACCAATGCAGGCGAAAGGCCAGCAAATGCCTTGTCGTGTCGCTAATGACCGAGCCCTCTTTGTGCTCCTGCACACCGGAAACATTGAGTCGCTGTGGACCAAATGACTCAAACACTGGTGATAAATACTGTGCCCGCCTTCCCATGGCCAGTGATTATCAAATAGTACCGGGCTGGATCCGACTCAAGAAGCTCTGGCACAACCTCTCAACTTGCTTGAGATATGTGTGTTCTGCAGGCACTCATGCAAATCCAAGGAATAGTGCAATTATGGGTTCCAAGTCTTGTAGAGGCCGAACGCCTGAGAAGTGAAGGGACGAAAGCCAGCCCTTGCATACGATTAGAGCAACCTGTTTGAATCAAGACACCCCAACAAGCGATGTGACAGCCCCCAAACGCCCCCAACATTCCCGCACAGACCCTCGAAGATCCATCTCCCGTGTCATGCTTTGTCCAACGTCCGATTGCTAGAACCCGCTTTTCCTCCGAACAAAGCGCAGGAGGGCACCAACAAAAATTCATAAAAATTCATCATTAAGGTCTTTTTTGGGAGAACTTGGTGCCGGAACCATTTTGTCACTGGTGCTCTCTTTTGCCCCAAGACGGCGAGCGGAAGGGAAAGGAAAAGAGGAGAGCGAGAGGAGAGGGCACTAAATTCCGGACAAGGCTCCTGACAAACGTACGGCCACTGCGGCCACGTCAGGTCTTAGCAAAGCTCTCCGCTCCTTTGCCCTGGGAGGATACGACGACTCCTGGTTTTCAAGCAAGACACATCAAAGCACTACTTCGGGCCACTGCGGGCTTGCACGAGGACACACTTGGGAAAAAAATGAGAAAGCACGTGCGATATGAATGCCGCATGCCACGAGCCACCAAAACACCTCAGTATGAACAAGGCCCTAGTAGTACAGCGGGCTCTTGCGAAGGGAAGAGAGACCAGCATCAATGGTTGGCAGAGTTGAATGTTAGAACGAGCAGGCACGTGGAAGTGGCGCCCGTTGACCAAGCCAGCTTTGTCAAGACCAAGCGACGATGTACCCTGCCTGGTCCCCCGTCCCCCGCTAACATCAGAATTGAAAGAACGAAAGATGAGAGGACTTCCAGCTGAACACATCAAATTAAAAGAACGCAAAAAAAAACCAACTGGTCCCCAGTGACTCCATGGGTCGCGCACACATCCCCTCGCACATGCACACGCATGCGCTTGAACAAAGACTTCGTCCGGTCGCAACGCCACAGCCCCGAAATCCCGAAACCTCAGCAAAGGAGGAGCCTGAGCTTCAAAGGCCACGTTCCACACACCAAGTCTACACAGTCACATTTCCAAGGCAAGCTTTAAAGGAAAACAACACGGGCGTCAAGGCAAGCCAACAGAGTGTCCAAATGCAAGTGTCAAGTTCCAAGTTGCAAAGAAATCCAACAGCGGAAAGATGCAAGTTCAACGGGAAACCCAGGTATGTTCACACAGACCCCAAAGGACGTCTTCGTCGGCCACCACTCTTCTGTTAACCGAGAACATCAAAAAGAGATGACCTTCCAATAACCAAAGTCCCACAGAGGTCAACTGACCAACCAAAGGTTCCACAAAGTTTCCCAAAGTTCAGCGACAAGCACCATCTCTGCTTGCAGCCTGGGAATTTAGATCGGATCATGATTGCTGAGCACATCAACAGGTGTGAAAAGCAGGTGCATGTCTGTGCGATTCTGTGCGTTCACAGACTCATCCACCCATTTCTCTGGCTTCGTTCGCCAGCGCCGATTAATGAGCTACTGGTCTGTTTTGCTTGCACGATCCTAACTACCCCACTCGCCGCAATCCTTGAGTGAAGCGAGGTTTGGTGCGTTGCCTCACCACAAATGAAAGCAACAAAAATAGTGATAACTCCTTAACACATGGTTAAACGGAGGTGTTTAATGCTGCTTTGATTTCATCGCGAAAAAGCCCGCGTGTACCAGCAGGTCACACGCACAAAGGTTTCGTATACAGTATATGATTGTCCATGCCTATGCATCATCCGCTTATTTATGCCACAAATCCTCAGATCTGTGTCTTGAACACGCCCAAGGTGGGAGTTTTGCTAGGTTGAAATATGAAATTACCAATGAAACAACAATGAAACGCTATCAGAAAAACGCAACACAACGACGGCTCCGGGTGCCCCGTTCGCCTCTCCAAGCCACCATCGTAGCGCAATTTGCGCAGCACCACGGGACAAGCGGTGCAAATCCAAAATGTTGCGTCCTTGGCACGTTTTTTCTGTGGCTTTTGTGCCATCGCAACAGGCTCAAGCAAGAAAGCAATAAATACACCCTCACTATGACAAGTGTCCTTTGTTAAGCAACTTGGGATATACCCCTTCCTTGAGCGCGCTGCTCCAGATTTCAAATCCACATTCCATCTGGTGCAAGGTATTCAATGCGCTATTGTAACTCCGTATCCCTGGAAACAACTCCAAGGTTGGCATGGACCTAAACATATTCAAAGCAGTCTGCCACAGACTCGCAGTTTGATAAGCATCCATGGCTATTGCCACTGTGTCAGTGTCGGGATGTATACCGAGGTCTCGCATCATGTTCATTAGTACAAGGGCTTGCTGCCAGTCAGAAGTAGCACAGGTACTCATTGCAGCATTCCAGTGAATGTGATTAGGAATGATACCAAATTGTGGCATGAATGAAAGCAGTTCCATTGCAATAGACCACTCTTGAGGGATCTTCAAACAGACCAGAGTACTGGTGAAGCACGAGTGATTGGGTGCCACTTGTGATCTCATCATTTGCCTCAAAAGGCTCAGGGCCAATGCCCAGCTCGTCCCTGACTCTTCGCAAGCCCCAATCATAGCGCTATAACAAGCTGCGTCTGGAAGCAGCTGAAACGCTTGCATCGAGTAGAATAGATGGAATGCCCGCTGCCATTGATGAGAATTTCTGCACGAGACCATTGCACTTGAGAAGCAAAACTCGTTTGCCTCCAATTCCAGCTGAGGCATACCAAACAACAAACTCAATGCTTTCTGCCATCCTCCATACTCGTGAAAGGCGTCTATGAGGGATAAGCACGTTAAGACGTCGACTTCCAGGTGCCATTCGTACAAAGAAAGTGCAAGTTGTACAGCAAGAGCTCTTTGTCCAGACTGCACACACGTATCTATTACAGTGTTCAAGGTTCTGATGTTTGCCGCAACCTGATCTCTTGTCATGTCTTCCAAAATCTGCAAAGATTTCTGCCAATCCTTTGTGTGCTGAGATTGCTTCAGGACGGCATTGTAAGAGACAACATCAGGCTCCACACCTGAATGTTTCATCCAATCCAACCACTGGAGACCGGTCTCTGGTGTGTCCTGAGGAGATGGGAGGCTGCATTTTGCACAAAGACGAGGGATTGGAAACAGGGGCATGGGTTGATCATAGTTCCCGATACAGGTCTCACACCACTCTTTCAGCGCAGCAACATGCATAACTTGCAACTGACAACAAGAATGACAGTGGTGCCACATGGTTCCCCTTGTTTGCTGGTGTGGGTGCTGTGTCGAGCTTTCTCTGCCGAAATCTTAAACACACGTACAGAACTCATGTTGTCTCGAAACAGGTTTTGCCAAATACTGTAGTGTGCAGTTGAAGTGACAGAATCCGTGATCTGCCAAGAGCAGGTTTGAGGAGCCGGTTTTCACAAAGGATCGCGTAGGCGCATGGGTCGTATTACGTCATTACGTCCGTGTCTTGATTGCAAAGGGCCGGTATGGTCGGACCGTGGCTATGGCACATCCCCATGCGCCGGACCGGCTTCAATCCTCAGGGGCACACACTAGGCGGACAGGCGGACCACTACCCCACCCCTGCAGTTAGGGGAGCTAGGGCGTGGACCGGGACAACACAACGACGTGTCTTGATTGCATGCGTCTTTCAATCGCAACACGCCCTGTCTTTCGTATCCACTTTACAAGGTTTGGCGCCTGCTCTGCTAAGGAATAATGAATATGGGACTCATGGTCCAAAACATGTTTCTCAGAAGAAATGTCAACTGCCAACAGGTCCACACTCCACACTCCAGGACTTACCTTTGACTGCTTCAAAACATCCTTTTTGTCAACATTGCACTGAAAATACAAAAGGAAGGTTGGCTGAATTGCAGTGCAAATGCAAAAGGCCTGCAATGCAGAAATCATAGTATTCCAGTGGATCGTGCCCATTTCAATCCCATTGCCGCGCATGAAATCAAAGACAAGTTCGGCGACTCGGACCCGCCCTTTGTCTACGAGGGTTTGCAGCCTGGGCGCTTGGCCAAAAATGCGTAAAGGCAACCCAAAATTGAATGCTTTCATGATCAACAACGTTTGAAGCACAAGGACATCTCAAAACGATGATACTTAGTGCCCAACAGGTTTGTAATATACTTTGGGTATTTGATCCACTTTCCTTGGCTTCACTGCCAATTCTCAACAAAACACTGCTGTCAGTGTGATAATATGAGCCGGGCCTGCGCACTGCACACAAACTGGTCGCAGCTCCTGGTGATGTTTTGTTTGAAATGTGGCTGCACGTTCTATAGATTCTATAGTGCACATTCACCCACCAAAGTAGGCGACAGCTGCAACAAACCACAGCCAGAATGAACAACACCGCACAAAAAACTGCAAACAGTTTGCCGTGAGCTTCAAAACTTCCACCAATGCTCCTCTGGATAAGGGTTTTGCCCCAGGGCCAATATCTTTGAAATGTCGGACTCCTCTTTAAACTCGCCTGAGCAAACGTGCAAGTGCGGCCACTCAATTCAGAACGTCAAACAAATTTGCTACATGTTCCTGAACTAAGTTTGGGTCTGCAACCAGATGAATAACGATCTTTATGTCCTCCATCCAAGCTCAGCCCAGCAAGTATGTTGGTGTTTCCGCAACCTACTTGAACTTCGTGAACGCAGTCCAACACTGCTGATTGACGAAACAGTCACCAATGTGATGGTTTTTGTTTTAAGACCGGAGACCTATGGCCTTTTGAACACTTGACACTGTGACACGATGTTTCTACTTGCATACACAAATGATCATAAATGAATGAATTTCAAATGCTTCAGAGTTGACAAACGATGATGATAGTATTTCTACGCTTGTTCAGGCGTCGCACAATTTTTTATCCATTTACCAGCTCTACAAAGTTTGTCGTTGCATGTCATCCGGAGACTCTTCAATGTGGGCCCCAGTTTCGCACGCCTTCCGTTCCTTTTCCTTGTTCCGGCAAAAGAAATCACCCAGGGTAGTTCCGGACCAGCTGGAACACTTGGAATACCGATTTTCTTACACATATGACACAATGGGATTTCAGCAGTGCATTCCAAAAAGGGCCGCATCCACTCCTCTGGGCATTGTTCAGCACTGAAGCTTGGCAGTTCATCCCCACCCAGGCCAGGCACGCTTGCGCAGGGCAAGCCGGTCTCCACATTCATGGCTGCATTACGGTCTCCATGGGTCTCCCAAAACATGCCGCGTGAGCCAGAAACAGCCAAAGCCAAGTCAAGACTAAGTTTGGCCAATTGGGAAGAGCTGTGCTAAGGTGGCTCATCAGCTCATGATGTCAGAATGTGCGGACCAAACTCTAGTCATCCTCTAGCAATGCCTCTCATGAAAATTAATGAGCCCTGGGTTGTAGCACCGAAAAATGATTTTTTTGGTTGGTTTTCTCTGTATATAGTCATCCTGTTGGCCTCACTCTGTTTTCTTCGCACTTTGCACTTGGGCCAGCGTCTTGTTGAGAAGCAGCCTCAGGTCAACCCCCTTGAGGAAGAAACGCAAAATGTTCGGTTGACCGAAAACGGCGTGAATTCAGAAATCCATGCGCGCCGCTTCATGTTTTCCATATCACTGGCATCAATGGTCATACCATGTCATACCTTGTCTCTTTTGCGTGGTCTTGCTTGTTTCCCGCTAAAGGCTTTAAAACTCAGCTATAGGGCTGCCTTACATGAATACCAGTAAGCGTCTCGTCCAGCATCTTTCAACATGGCACTTTCCAAGACCTACATTCAGGTCCTACAGGCTGTGGACTACTGGGTGCAAATGCCTGCTGGCGCGGAGCTAACTCGAGCCTTGCGCGAACTCCTTGTAGACCTACCATAATTGTGACTTCTTAAAAAATGTTAAGTAGCTGCCCTTTTACGAACCACGCGCTGCGGACGTACGCTGATAAGAACAGATACTACACAAGTCATCATGACATCTGTTCCTACCTAGAGTAGAGAAAAGCTTGACACGCCGCCTCAAAGTTTTGCGAGACAGCGGAACTTTGTACCCGCTTTTCCTCGGTGGAGAACCCCCTTATCTACAAAAGGGTCACAGGAAAAGTCCGCCCCACATCTAGTCCATAAAAAGTATGGCCCGTTCCGGCAACTGAATGCCATTCCCACAAGAACTCATTGTAAATTCTAAGCTGTACAATGCTCAACGAAATCCAGCTGTAAAGGAAACCACCAATGCATTGCAAATCGTTGTGCTCCTCTTGACAATTCGTTGGTTCAGCTGTTACAACGAATGTCGCGGGCCATGCATATTGAAATTTGAAACTAACCACCGTCCATCCTTGGTTCACCTTCAAGCTCACCGTTGTCTTCCTCTGCCGCTTCATCTTCGCCCTGGTCAGTAAGACCTGTATAGCTTCTCTCACTTTCACTTGGGCTACTCACTCCAGTGATGTAACCCCATCCACATCTCTGGGTCTGAACATTCCTCCAGCCGTGAGTTCAATTATCTCGCAACTCGTGTGTCCTCAGATTCGTTCTCTCCCGCTTCACTCTCATTGTCTTCAGCATCCTCTTCATTGTTTCGTTCTGTATTGTTCCCAATCGTTCCAGGATCATTCAATCCATAGTTTCTCCACGGCACATTGTCAGGGTCAAAATAACCTTGATCCTCACCACCAACCAACTCTCCAGCGCCTCTTGCTGAATCAACAGGAATCACCTTCTGTAAAGAATTCCGGTGAATTGTCATGTTGAAACAGAACTCATGCGCTCGCTGTCTTGTCCTTGTGCTATGGCCCAACTCCAACGCTGCTAATGTTGCACCAAGAAGCCTTCTTCTCTGCTCATAAGCACGCCGCCTTGAACCAGTCATTTGCTCTCTCTCTCTCTCATCTTCTAGTCACCACCCAGTAGAGAAACCATTCAGGACTCCACGGCGCCCATCTCAGTTGTAAGTTGTAGGAGGTGGTGGAAATCTAGGAGCCCTGGGCACACCCTCATCTGGGATCTGGCTGGAAGAGCTTGCTCCTGGTGCTGATGGAAGCACCAGCCGTGGTTTCAATCGTTCTCTTCTGGTTTCGCGTTCACCTTCTTCCAACATTTCTTCTTCTTCTCTTGGCGTTTCTTCCAGCTTTCTCTTTTTTCTTCTTCCAGCTAAAATGGCTGTCACCTCATGCCCATGGGGGTGCCCAACACCAGCAGAACAATCATTGTCAAATAAAATTGCTGTTGGTCATTGGTCACTCTGGTCCATGTTCATCGCTTCATCACCTTCTGTGCATCCCTTCATGCTCAAAGCCTGAATCAGAATTGCACTCTGCGCTAGCCGTCTGTTGTTCACATTGTGCACTCAACGACACGCTTTTCGAACTTGGTTCTTCCACAATTGATCTGCAAAATATGCCACTTGTTCGTCTTCTCCAACTACCTCCTTCACTTCGTTTGTTCCGCCCAACATCACTGCTCCCAGGATGAATGTCCAACCGTTCATGCGACATGTACATTGCTGTCCCTAAGCCTGAACGAAAAGCTGATCAGCTGTTGTGTCCGGTTGTGTCAACAAACTATGCTCAGAAACTTGCTTCTCTTTCCGCCCTTGCAGGTTGTACACTTTTACCAAACTGTCTGTGAACCTAGGATTTGGCTTCATAACGATTCCGTCAGCTTGCAAAATGTACGTTTTCTTCAAAAAACTCAACTCTTTTCCGGATCCCAGACCTTCAACTGGAAATGGCCCTTCTGCCTGCAACTTGTAGTACTTCTTCAGCTCTGAAATTCTCCCTTGGTTTGAATCACTTGGGAGAGGTTGTCTACGTGATGGATTTAGAGCCTGCTACATTGGGTTTGCTGGATATGATTGTGATTGTCATGGTTAGACAAGACATGGGCTACAAGACATCAAAAAAGGTTGGAAAGCCCTACCACAAGGGCAGGACTGCCCGTGTAGAGAGGTATATCCAGACGATCCGCAGGCGATCAAGCGCATTGATGACTAGTGTTGCGGACAATATCCATGAGTTGCTGGACGATCTACACTGTCTTCGCGGCTTCGCGCATGGGCTCTTGTGCATTCTGTATTTCTCCTCAACAGATTTCATGAACACTCAGCAATCAGGGCAACAGCCTTTGAGACCGTGTTTGGCCACAAGTACCAGGGTAAGATCCTTCCCTTCGGTGAATTCGCGCTCCGACTACGACAACCTTTGAAGAAGAAGGGTACTAGCGTGTGGCAGAGAGGAATCTGGATTGGTAAAGATGAAGCTGATACGCACGTGCTGGTGACTGCAGGAGGAGACGTTGTTCGCACGCTTGGAGACCAGATGTCATCAAATCATTGGTTTCTTCACCATGGACAAAGATGAAAAGTTCAGGACCGGTTGGACTTTTGGAGGCTCCTTTACCTTCAATTGAAGAGAAGCCAGAGAAAGATTGCCGAGATCCCATCCTCATGAGTTCAGGTGAAATTGACGAAGAAGCTGAAGAGGTGAGAGATCAAGAATCCTATGATCCTACTGAAGTTGGGAGCACGATGAACAGGGAGGTCGAACAGCGTTGGAGGAGGAACAATTGGAGCGTTTGTCAACAATGCAGCGCAAAAGTTTGTTGGGAATCCCCATCATCCCAAGTACACCAGAACAGACACTTGAGGTGGACCATGAAGGACCAGTGCAAGAGAGGAGAGAAGCAGAACAGGCTGGGGAAGAGCTTGAGAGAAAGGCGGCGCGTTTTGCGAGCGGTGTGAAGGTGTTGAGAAGACAGCAAATGAATCCAGAAGGAAAATGGGTGGATTTGAAGGAAGTGTTTGATTGGCGTTTTCGCCAACACAGAACAGGACCATATAGAGAAGAAACAGTTTCTCCGACCTCTTCCCATGCTGTTGTACGTCTTTTCCTTCTGCGTCATATTTCCCAAGGCTGGAAGTTGGCAAGTCTTGATATCTCAGATGCATACCTCACTGTCGAGTAAAAGGAAGTTTGCTACGTTGAGATTTCGCAGTGGATGAAGGATTTGCTACATTTGCCCAAAGATACCATTTGGGAGGTGAAGCGTGTTCTACCAGGACAGCGCAACGGGGCTCAGAGATGGTTTCAGCACTTCACAAACAATTTGCAGAAGATTGGCTTTTGTGTTTGTACCGCGATGCCCTCAGTGTTGAGACACCACACTCGCAAGATTGTTATCAATGCGCATGTTGATGATGAGTTGATAGCTGCAGAAACAACACAGAACTCTGCCAGGGCTCGCCATGCACCTTTTGTCCTTGCCGGAAAGATTGCTCCATATCTTGTCATTGTATCCAGCAACACCAAGGAAGGAAAGTTCCTCCCTAGATATATCCAATCTATCTGTATGCGCGGGCAGTATTCGACAAAGTGTGGTCCTCCTTCGACTTCGTCTTCAAGCAAGCGTCACACCAGGGAGCGAAAGGAAGATCTGTCGCCTCGTGTCTTTCAATCTCTCTTGGATCAACTGGTTTCTCCATTCCTTTCTTCTGTACAACCGGCTGAGGTCCCAACTCCAACTTCTGCAAGTTCGCGAACCTTCTGGAATTGTTTGGTCACGTATGAACACAGCCTGTCATACAACTTTGATTTGGAACAACTGGGATTGATACCAAGGAAATTACACCCATCCTGCAAATCTTTGACGCGACTGTCTCTTTTGAGTTCACGACCGTTCACCCAAACAGACTCCAACTGTTCCTCATGTCCACCTGCTGTGCCTTTTGCTCCTAGCATTGGAACATCACGCAACTCTCGTCGCACTGCTGGTTCTGAAGGAAATACATGAACTTCTTGTTTCTCCAAATCGTCAAACAACTGTTGGCAACTGCTCATCTGTAATCATCTCACACAAGCAGTCACTCAATGGGGAAACAAAACGTTGTGGAAATGTCAAAATGGTGGTTGGCATCAAAAGACCAGGAACATCACTCTCCAGTCATCCAAAAGAGCCAACTCCTGTGAATGCTCAATGACCTCCCAAACTGGCCCCAAACAAGCGATTGTCGTCCTGAACTTCCATGTCACACGTGAAAGAGATTCTCCAGGATTCACAAATGTTCTGCCATGCGGTTTGTTTACTGGATTGCAATTTTCCAGCAACCTTCCTTCAATGAATGAACCGACATCAAAACTCATTTTCGCATAAGCTCCGCTCACATGACCTTTGGCCTGCTGGTCATCGTCCTTCTCGGTGGCCCTTCTGACACGCGCCAGGACACTGAGGCTATTCTTTCCGTAGAACACAGGAATACGAAACATGCCATCCGGTGAAGACAAGATTCCTGCGCAAGAAGAAAATCCAAGCCTGTTCACCATCTCTGCATCACATGACATTGGCTCACCAAAAGTCCATCCTGTTTTCACTATGCGGCCAAAAGAAAGGATAGTTTTGGTGATGCACAAAGGATTCACTAATGCAACACCCGGTTTTGTCATTCAAACAATGCTCAAACTCCACCTGCGCCTGCTTCATGCCACCAACTGCCAATGAGTTGCCTTGCGCATCTTCCAATTGCAAATTTGGGGATGGAGTGTCCTGTCCTACAAGACACCTGTACGGCAACAATGAAACATCGGCCCCGGAATCTAGCACTATCCACGCACTCTCTTCTACACTCTCCACCATTCTCACATGCACCTTCTGCTGACACTCTCTCTGCCCAAAATCTGTCTCTTGATCACTTGATCTGAACTCAGCCACCAGTAGAACAAGTCGTCTTCTGGCCACACAGCTCCCCACGACAAACCTTCAGCGTCGAAAATGTTGTAAAATGCTCGCAACCGACCATGTTCACTTGTTCATCTGAAGAAATCTCAGCATCACTTGCTACCACTGCTCGAACCTGTCCCTTCAAAATTGCCAATGTTGACCAATCCTCTTCTTCTGATTCGATTGTTGAACTGCTCTGGAGATTGGAGAGGAGGAGTACCAACATGGTACATATGGACTCTGCGAACTGATCTCTGCGTTGATGCAGCCGTGCTCCCAACAGAACTGTATGTTGTTGCACTACTTGAAGGAACACGGGTGTCCAAAGGAGTGGATTGCTGTTGCTGTCCGGTTTCTCTCACCTCCCGGACACCATCTTGCTTGTTT